CATGGGGGTTTCGTGGCACCCGGTTGCGCATCTGTTTCCGGGTCACACCAGGGGTCACACTATCGAGTACACTGTCAGACGACGTGGAGGCAAATTCTCCGTCATAAATATGTGAACATACAGTCTAAACAGTTAATAAGTTGAAAGTGTATAATACCTTTGAAAGTGTATAATACCTTTGACACAGTTTTTAAACGGAAAAGTCCTCCCTTATAACTGCGTGAATACACAATCTAAATAGTGTAGACTTGAAGTGTGTAATACCATTGACAATGTTTTCGGACGTTTCCTCTATAAAATTAGTGCGAGACTATACAGTCCAAACAGTGTACTTTGAAAGTGTGTCACACGATTGACACAGGTCAAGTTGGAAGGCAAGTTCTCCGTCATAATTGCTTGCATGTACAGTTTAAAGTAAGCAATGGATAGCTTGACAGAATGTCATATCATTGATACAGCTTTCAGACGGAAAAACTTTTTAATCACAAGTAGGTGAACATACAGCCTGAAGAGTGAAGACTTTGAATTAAAGCGTGGCATTTCACACAATTTTCCGTCGTAAGTGAGTTCATATACACTTTAAATAGTATTTACTTTGATAGTGACGGAAAATGTTCCCACCATTTGAGGGTTAATACAGTGTATACTTTGAAAGTGTGTCATACATCTGCACAATGTTTTTTCGTCGCTTGTGCGCTGGAGGATGTGCAGCCAAAGTTGAACGTGCCCCTTGAATATTGTCGCCCGTGAAGTTAATCTGTAACGTTATAACATTATAGTCGGCTGCACAGAATTCGAAGGACAGGTCGGCGATGTGACGTTAAGTGCGGCTGCATTCCGCAGGTGTTTTCAATGGGGATGTTACATATTTTATTCTGCTGATCAAGTGAAAATGATGAGTTTTCTTTGACATGAGTAGTGGCGGGATAAAATATGTGAACATACAGTCTAAACAGTGAATTGTTGGAAAGTGTGTCATACCTTTGACACGGAAAAGTCCAGCCTCATAGCTGCGTGATATACAGTCGAAACTTCTAAACAATACATACATTGCTTTGCCATTGTGTCATACCATTGACACAGTTTTGGACGGAAAAGTATTTCAATCACAAGTAGGTAAACAATGGAAAGAAAAATATGCTTTTAAAGCGTGTTATACGATTGACACAGTTGTCAGACGGTAAAGTTTCCGTCAAAGTGCGTGTGTATACAGTCTAACTATAGTCAACCATTGACACAGTTTAAGACGGAAAGTACTGTGTCATAACTGCGTGATTATACAATCTAAATAGTGTACACTTTAAGTATGTCATACCATATGCATCGACAATGTTTTAGGACGGAATTCGAAAACTGTTCCTCTATAAAATGAGTGCGCTACTATGCAGTCCAACTTTGACAGTGTGTCATACGGATTGACACAGTTTTTGGAAGGCAAGTTCTCCATCATAATTGCGTGCATGAACAGTCTAAACAGTGAATACCTTTTTTTTTTGAAACATATAATGACAAGACGCGGTGGCGACACACTCAACTTAAACTTATATTATATAATAATTGTGAATACCTTGACAGGATGTCATATCATTGACACATTTTTTGGCCGGAAAAGTTTTCCGTCATAAGTATGTGAACATACTGTATAAACAGTGAAGAACACAGTTTTTAAACGGAAAAGTCTTCCGTCATAACTGCGTGGATATATACAGTCGAAACAATGCATACTTTGCTTTGACATTGTGTCATGCCATTGGCACAGTTTTAGACGTATAGGTTTAAAAACTATACATTTATTTTTATTAAAAAGTGTGTCATACGATTGACACAGTTTTTGGAAGGCAAGTTCTCCGTCATAATTGCTTGCATGAACAATCTAAACAGTGAATACCTTCAAGTTGACAGGATGCCATATCATTGACACGATTTTCGGATTGAAAAGATTTCCGTCATAAGTATGTGAACAGACAGTCTAACAGTGAAGACTTTGAAAGTGTGTCATGGTGGAAAAGTCCTCCGTCGTAACTGTATGCATATACAGTTGAAACAGAGCATACTTTGCTTTGACATTGCATCATACCATTGACACAGTTTTGGGATGGAAAGCTCTCCGTCATATATCGATATCTTAGTGAATATACAGTCAAAACAGTGTATACCTTGATATTTTGTCAAACCATTGACACAATTTTCCGGCATAAAACTTTTTCTTCATAAGTGCATAACTATATAATATAAACATTGTATAGCGGTACTTTGGCAGTGTGTCATACTATTGACACAGTTTTCGGGTGGAAACGTTTTCCGTCATCAGTGGGTGAATATACAGTCTAAACAGTATATATTTTGCCAATGTGCCATACCATTGACAAAGATTTCAGACGGAAAATGTTTCCGTCATAAGTGGGTGAATATACTTTAAACAGTATTTACATTGACAGTGTGTCATACCATTGACAGTTTGACACAGTTTTCAGACGGAAAATGTTTCCATCATTTCCATCATCAGGTTAGCCAGGGTTAGCATACTGTCAAACAGTGTATACTTTGAAGTGTGTCATACAGCTGAATATGCACAATGTTGTTTTTTTTTCGTCCCCTGTGCGCTGGAGGATGTGCAGCCGAAGTTGAACGTGCCCCTTGAATATTGGCGCCCGCGAAGTTCTGTGGTTCTGTAACGTTATAGTCGGCTGCACAGAATTTGAAGGACAGGTCGGCACTTAGAGTGCATCCTGGATACGGACCTACTCTATCCCAAAGAGATCGCACCTCAGAGCGCATCCTCGATACGGACTTACTCTACCAAGAAGACGTCGCACTTAGAGCGCATCCAGGATACGGACTTGCTCTATCTAAAGAGGACGGTCCCAGCAAGTTAAGATATACCGCAAACCCACACCGCAATAGCAGTTCAAACTTGTTTCATAATGACTTTTACCAACAAAGATAAACTTACAAGAGAAGGTTTAAATTCTGTTGTCTAAGGCGCTATATCATTCGTATTTCACCTGTGTCATTGGAATGATACAGCCTTGAACAACAGAATTTGCATGATGGTTATTGGAATGACATATCTGCCATGTTAAGGCTATGTCATTCCTATGACACAGGTAAAATATCTGCCGTCTTAGGGCTATGTCATTCCTATGACACAGGTAAAATATCTGCCGTCTTAGGGCTATGTCATTCCTATGACACAGGTAAAATATCTGCCGTCTTAGGGCTATGTCATTCCTATGACACAGGTAAAATATCTGCCGTCTTAGGGCTATGTCATTCCTATGACACAGGTAAAATATCTGCCGCCTTAGGGCTATGTCATTCCTATGACACAGGTAAAATATTTGCCGTCTTAAGGCTATATAATTTCTATGACACAGGTAAAATATCTGCCGTCTTAAGGCTATGTCATTCCTGTGACACAGGTAAAATATCTGCCGGCTATGTCATTCCTATGACACAGGTGGAAATTCTGCTGTTCAGGGCTATATCATTCCAATGGCTCAGGTGACATATATCTGCCATGTTAAGGCTATGTCATTCCTATGACACAGGTGGGAATTCTCTTGTTCAGGGCTATATCATTCAAGTGACAGGTGAAAAATCTACCGTCTTTATTTGTCAAGCAATTTTTACATGTATGTAGACATTCTAGCATTGTTCCATTTAAAGATATATGTAGTCCAAAGTTACAATTACCCCATAACTGAAATTGTCGTGAACGAAAATGAACTACATTAGAACTTACATACGTGCGCACAGCAAAACAGATTGTCTGTAAGACAACTTACGGTATGTTTCGTTAGAAACATGAATGATATGTCCCGGTCAGAATGGTTAGGGTGAACAGGGTGTAACGTGAAGTTCGAAGAAACAATTAGTATGGTTAAACTGAGTGATCCTGATAGAACAACTATTAGAGGTAAGGCTTACATGTTATCTTGCAATAAAGAATAAAATATATAGTAATACTACGCTGTGTATGCCGTATTGCCCAACGTACCAACCCGACCGCGGGTTTAATCGCCCGACAGCCGCATGTGGCCGTTACACTTTTTGTGTAACGGGGCCGTTCGAGATTCTATGAAACATTTGGAAGCATGTGTGATAACAAAAGAGACTCCGGGCCGTACCGTTACACTGGCCAGAACATCCGTATCGGACGCAATCGCCGTCCAACTATAAGCACACATACGCGTATTAGCAGCTGTTAGGGGACGTGGTTTGACCCGGAAGTAGACTGGACAGCGGTCGTCTGAAAACCCCCATGCAGACCGCAAAACACAGAAAAACCACGCCAAAATGAGTACTTAGAAGGTCAACTTTGACGGGACATATCTCGTCTTCCAGTGATTTTTGAATTTCCAACTGACCCACACACGGTGGTCTGACTCGTTGACATCACGGGGACACATAAACCAGCCTCATTTGACGTATCGTGACCGTACTACGACTTTTTGTATGGAGCATTCTAAGTACTCAATCCGGCGCGTCACACGATTCCGTGCTTCGCCATCTTGAAATCCCTGACAAGACTCGAAAAATGCAACGACTTTCAGTCAAATTTTCAGCAAATCCACGACCACTATACCAACAAGGTAGTTACCAGTCAAGTCTACGATAAACGCACTTACTTTCTATCGAATCCTCTTAAACTAACGAAGCCAAGATGTGGTAAAAATCCCCCCTTTATTTCGTGCCATACAACCCCATTTATTCCAAGCAAAATCCGCCACCATCTTGCTGCGCACGTCGTCCTCAGCGAACTGGGGCGATTTCGTCGACAGCCGACGACTCTCGGGCCTCTCCGGAGTTTCCCGAAGCTTCTCCGACCGCAATCGGAACCTGCTCGTATTCTCCTCGGAAACTTTCGAATGACGCGTCATGACGCTAGCCAATGAAATTCGAGCTCCAAACCCGGGAAACCCTTTATTTTTACCTCGGGAAACCCCGTTTGCTTTAAACCTATAAATACTCCGGACGGCCGAGCTTCAGTCAGAAGCGCCTTGTGCGCTGCAGCGAGTGGAGCTCCTAAAAAGGACTCTCCGTGTCAAACCAAGTTGTAAATAGATGAGCATTGGCTACAAAGTAGCTAAAATATAGTAAACAAATACTCAAGAGGCGTATGGATAGATAGGACTGCGCCTTTTCGTGGAAATTCCCGCCAAGGAAGCCACTTCCATTCTTACCGAGCACCCGCGCCTGAGCTCACGGCGTCACCATGCCTGTTTTCGGGCCCATCCTCAGCGACACTTCGGCGCCTTTGCGCCCGGTGAAAAGAGTCCAGTTCGGCATCCTGAGCCCGGACGAAATTGTACGTGGTGGCAGTGGTGATGCAATTTACATGTCCTCTCAATTTAAGTCGTCATGCATGTATTTTAGTCCTTAGTTTCGACGTCGGCAATTTATTATTCGGAAGTTTTCAACTAAACCTTTGTGACATAGTGGGGGGGGGGGCGTTTATGTAGATTTGTTAAAAAGTTTTAGATCGATACAAATATTTCTTATGTTGCCAAGTAACTAAACCGTAATGGTTATAGAATTTATTCTTTGTGGAAATGATAATATTACTTCCCGAGTAATATGATATTACTAATATCATCAGGATATCAGTTCACAAGTGGACAATATTATATATGGTGTAACGTTATAGTTTTGCTTAACTAAACTGTATACTAGAAAAACCTATTTTTGCTCCAATATTTATGTACTAGGAAAGCAGGAATAAAATATGTGGGAAAATCTTCTATGTTGAAGTTGCTAAAGCTTGAAACACTTTCCTGAAAGAAAACTTATGCCAGGTTTAGAAATCTGTAAAATTTAGATCTGCTAAAAAAAGCGTTAAACTTTAAAGACAAAAAAATGCTAAACTTTAAAGACAAAAAAATGCTGAGATAGCTCATGACTCAAGAAAAGGACACTTCTTATGGAATAATACATACTTCTGAATTATGCATTAATTTCATTGGAAAAGTCCTTAGCAAATTTGTTGATGCCACAAAAACAGGTTTTTAATATTTCCAACATATGGCATTACAGAAATGTAATTCATTATGATGACATGAAAGATTGGCATTTTGCAAAAAAATTTGCTCTTGAAGAGAAAAGAGTTAAAACTTCCCAGTGAAACTCTAAGTCTAAGGTTATAAAGTTTATGACGGATTGCATATGATTTGTAAATTTGCATATCAAGGTCATCTTCGTTTTAATATAAACATGTATCTTTTATGCAAAATCATTCCATTGTTTGGGAGAGGTGCTCCCTAGTTGGTTGATGTCGCAAAAAAAAGTTGTCGACTTTCCATGAAAATACTAAGAGAAAACCCTAAATTTGAGCATTTTGGGAGAGGTGGTAAGATTTTTGGAAGAGGGGAGCACCTTTGCTTCAATGCTTGGGGATAGTCCTTTCCTAGGCTATGTTGATCATAAGACGACCAAAATTCGGTTTACAAACAGTCCCTTTATGTATTCACTTCTTTTACAACTACAATCATAGTACAATGTATATTATGTAACTGTGTTTTGCATGAATGTATTCAGGCACCCAGCCAAAGCTTGAATAGGATATTGAATAGCCATTGGAAAGTATAGTGTCAGCAGACACTTATAAGAGTATGAACGATACAACCTTTTCTCTTCATATCTTGAAAGTTCATCTGTGTTGGTAGAAGTCATTATGCAGCGAGTTTAAACTGTAATTTCCAACACAAGAAATTGGACTCACCCAAATTTTCGACTGTACAACTCCAGTCTTTGTCAAGGAATGAACAATCCACGGAGTCACGTGTGTTATCTGCGTGACGTCACGGAAGCGGTGGATTGTTCATTCCGTGACAAAGACTGGAGTTGTACAGTCGAAAATTTGGGTGAGTCCAATTTCTTGTGTTACAAATTACAGTTTAAACTTGCTGCATAATGTTTTCTCTTCATGTATCATTTTTTTTCCTAATTGTTTTATGTTATCGTAATAATTGATTATGTTGCGTTCAGAAACGGATGTCGGTCACAGAAGGCGGAATCCGGTACTCCGAGATGATGGAGGGAGGGCGGCCGAAGCTCTGCGGTCTGATGGACCCTCGGCAGGGCGTGATCGACCGCTCCGCCAGGTGTCAGACCTGCGCCGGCAACATGGCGGAGTGTCCCGGACACTTCGGACACATCGAACTGGCCAAGCCGGTGTTCCACATCGGCTTTCTGACCAAGACCATCAAGATCATGAGATGTGTGTGCTTCTTCTGCTCCAAACTGTTAGTCAGTCCAGTGAGTACAGGCTTGTTGTCTTCTAAGTTATAGTAGAATGGTTTCTTATGACATCAACTATGTCACAATAGTCACAGCCTGAATTGAACTACAGAAATTGACTGCCAACATCAAAAATCATTTTCTACATCAGTCAAAATGTCTAGTGTTGAAATTTTGTACACATTTGTAGTGCCCATACTTCAAAGTTTATAATTAGGCCTTGAAAGCATATATTTTCCTTCAAAATTTGAACGGTTTGGTATTACTGAAAGGTACATGTAACTTGAAAATATGGTTGGTACAAATTGAAAGAAGTTGAGGGATGGCACTCAATTTTGACTTCATCCATGAAATGTTGGGGACTGGTTTTGAACAGAAAGATCTGTGAGGAAGTGAACAGTAGCAAAAGCAAAGAAACAGGCGCTGCTTTTTGGAGCACTTTCTTAACCGTTCTTCCACACTTCCCTTGTTTCTTATACAGGATGACCCAAGAATCAAGGACATCGTGGGCAAGTCGAAGGGCCAGCCCAAGAAGCGACTGACGCACGTGTACGACCTGTGCAAGGGCAAGATGATCTGTGAAGGAGGGGACGAGGTGGACGCTGAAGTCGGTCCTGAGGAGGGAAAGGAAGAGAAGCCCAAGGTAAAGTCATTCATCTTCATGGCCATTCTGTGGTACAGTAGCAGGGTTGGACAAGTTTTCAAAAATCCATGTGCCCTATCAGGCAAGAACATGGTCATTTCTACTTGCCCAAACCAACTTTTCACTTGCCCAATGCAAAATATAAATGACATGTTTCTATGCATTTTTACCGCAAGAACATTTTTTTTCAGAAAAAAAAAAACTTATATGCTTGACCAGTATTTCCCAAAGTAAGGAGTTGCAAATGAATGATTCTTTGACAAAAAGTCATACTTTTGACTGACATCAAAAGATATGGGAATACATTATGGGAAAATGATGAGTGATTTTGCTCCAAACACTGGGGCATAATGCCACATCCAAAAAATTAACTTGCCCAATCAGGCAAGTACAGGGGGATGTTCACTTGCCCGAACAGTACTAGTACTTTTACTTGCCCTGGGCAAGTGGGCAATGGGACTTGTCCAACACTGTTATCAGTAGTTAATATAAGTCATCATATCCTCAGGCTATATGTTGATTTGGAGACTATTTGATTGATCGATTAATTGACTGATTGTTCCCAGGGTCATGGTGGTTGCGGTCGTTACCAGCCCCAGATTCGCAGGGTGGGGTTGGACCTGACAGCGGAGTGGAAACATGTCAACGAGGACTCCCAAGAACGGAAAATCCAGCTCAGCGCCGAGAGAGTACTGGAAATCTTCAAACGCATCTCTGGTAGGTTGTGCTGCATACCGGTTCACTGGACTTGGATCCGGACTTGTAAGAATGTTTAGGTTCAAGTCCAAAAAAACCTAAAGTAAAAGTCAAGAACCGAGTCTGGACTTATTTCCACAAAAGACCATTTCACACACCCCTTTTCTTTCCAAACCACCTAAAACCTTCCGTGCTGCAAAATGAAGAAAACATTGCCATCGGGCATCGTCAACTACTGGCCTCCATGTTATGTGGCCAAAGTTTCACCCAGACAACATTGCAAGGTTGCCAACATGCAATTTTGTATATGCCATGGGTTTAGGTCCGGACTTACAAGTCCAGAACTGAACCTAAACCTCTGGACTTGAATCCGGACCTGAACCTAAATGTGGGTTTACTAAACCAGCACTAGTTTTTAGTAGTAGTACTACAGGTGAAGTACTGATTACGCTTTCTGAATGGCTTGAATAAAATTCTGAGGAGACAAATCATGAACATTTTTATGTTTACCGAAGAAAAACATTGTTTTTGCTCTGTTTCCTCTTCCATTCCAAACACCAAAAGGTCAATGACCAGAAACCAGACGTCTATCACCATGGTAACTGGTGTTGGGTTACATCATGTTGCAATTTTATAGCAAGAGGGACTTAGACTCCTGTCACCATTTATAATTGTATGAATGTGTTGGAGTAAGAATTAACAGAGCAGACCATATACGAAAGTTAACGTTATGCATTTGCTTTGCAAATGTTATCTTTCTAGTGTATCTTTATTTTTGATTGGTAAATGTTTGCTGCCTTACCTTTTAAACTGTTTCAATTTTGTCAAAAGTGATGCCCGTTGCTTCCATAAACTTACTAAATGCTTTCTGTGACAGATGAGGAGTGTAGCATCATGGGAATGGATCCGAGGTTCGCCCGACCAGACTGGATGGTTGTGACGGTACTTCCCGTGGCGCCGCTACAAGTCCGACCCTCGGTAGTCATGTTTGGTGCAGCCAGAGGACAGGTATGTGGTATACTTTATCTCACAAATAGACTTGTCGTATGTAACATCTAAATTTGAAAAAAAAAGAAGGAACTTAATTTCATAGTCACTCCAGTCAAATCCTTGGTCAACTTTATCAAGGCTTTGCATAAATCATGGACAGCTGTAGCAAAAAAGACATATAGCAAATTTTTTGACAGATTGAAACACCCTCTTTCTAAGAGTGAGAGCATGAAATTTAAAAAAAAAAAAGAATTTTTAGGCTACAGTGTTTTGCACATTCAATACCTTTTCATATCTGTGATTCTTGTGAAAATAAGTGGATGCATTCCTTTGGGTGCAATGACCAAGTGGGTAGAGTGCTCACCTTGCATTCGGTAGGTCGTGAGTTCGATCCCCGGCCGAGTCATACCAAAGACTTTTATGGTACATATTGCTTTCTCTGCTTAGCACTCGGCATTTGAGGAAGAGTATGGGAGTTCAACACACTGCACTACCAGTGGACTAGTGATTGAACTGTTCTGTGGCCCAGGGCTAGTGAAAATGGAGATGAGCGCCGCCCTATGCGCCACTCTATGCCAGAAGGCTCTTTAACTTTTTAACTAATTCCTTCAGGATGATTTGACGCACAAGTTGGCTGACATCGTGAAGATCAACAACCAGCTGAAGCGGAACGAGATGAACGGAGCGGCGGCTCACATCATCGCGGAGGACACCAAGATGCTGCAGTTTCACGTCACAACACTGGTGGACAACGAGGTCCCCGGCATGCCCAGGGTACGTACGCTGACAAGGGACAATATTTGGTCTAATTGTTTTGTTGTAGGGCTGTGTATCTAGTACCTGTGCCCTCGATGTTGTTTTGACTTGTATAGTGTACATCTTTTTAGGTACAGGTTCAGACCTTTACATCTTTTTAGGTATAGGTTCAAACCTTTACATCTTTTTAGGTATAGGTTCAAACCTTTACATCTTTTTAGGTATAGGTTCAAACCTTTACATCTTTTTAAGGTACAGGTTCAGAATCAGATCTGTATGTTTTGTAGGTACAGGTTCAGATCTACATGTCTTTTTAGGTACATGTCCAGATCTACACATCTTTTTAAGTACAGGTTTAGACGTACGTTTTTTTAGGTACAGGTGCAGACATATACGTTTTTTTAGGTACAGATTCAGACTTGAATGTCTTTTTAAGGTACAGGTTCAGACATGTATGTTTTCTTAGGTACGGGTTCAGATGTACGTTTTTTTAGGTACAGGTTCAGATCTACACATCTTTTTTAGGTACAGGGTCAAATCTGTACGTCTTTTTTAGGTACAGGTTCAGACTTGAACGTCTTTTTAGGTACAGGTTCAGATCTACACTATCTTTTTAGGTACAGGGTCAAATCTGTACGTCTTTTTAGGTACAGGTTCAGACTTGAACGTCTTTTTAGGTACAAGTTCAGACTTGAACGTCTTTTTTAGGTACAGGTTCAGACTTGAACATCTTTTTTAGGTACAGGTTCAGACTTGTACGTTTTTTTAGGTATAGGTTCAGACATGTATGTTTTTTTAAGTACAGGTTTAGACATGTACGTTTTTTTTTTAGGTACAGGTTCAGACATGTACATTTTTTTAGGTACAGGTTCAGACTTGAACGTCTTTTTAAGGTACAGGTTCAGACATGTATTTTTTTTTTAGGTACAGGTTCAGACTTGAACGTCTTTTTAAGGTACAGGTTCAGACATGTATGTTTTTTTTACGTACAGGTTCAGACTTGTACGTCTAGCAACAAGATAAACTAAAAATTTTAAGTTAAAGATGACAATTTTGACAATTTAGCATTCAAAAACGAGGAAAACTTGTAAGAACTCTAGGTTGAAGATGTGAAAATCTTCATATAAAGATGACAGTTTATCAATGAAACAAGACAGTGTTGTCTCGCACTCGCTAAATGTCTACATGTATGAATAGCTTAAAGAGAATTGGCCAAGCTTGTTTGCCGTTAGTACCAGGTTGAACTGTTGGTAACTTAGAATTTTACTATCTACAGGCTGTACAAAAGTCAGGACGACCGCTCAAGTCAGTCAAACAGCGGCTGAAGGGCAAGGAAGGTCGTATCCGTGGTAACCTGATGGGGAAACGTGTGGATTTCTCCGCCCGCGCTGTCATCACGCCGGACCCTAACCTACAGATCGACCAGGTCGGCTGTCCGCGGACTGTCGCACAAAACCTGACCTTCCCAGAGATTGTCACACCCTTCAACATTGACAGGTAAGTAATGCTTTTTTTCACAGGATCTGTAACTTGTAAGTCTTGAAATGCCTGCAATGGTTTTAATTATGGTACAGCTATCGTGTGTTTTGTATTATTATAAATAAATACAGAATTGTTCAACCATTTCAACCATGAACTACAAGACACTACTTTTTTCTCCCAATGCGATTTTATGTCATTGTGAAAAGAAATGGATTTACAGTAGACAATAGTGTTGTGAACAAGGAAGCTTAAAAGGCCAGACCAATTTAATTTGTTGGTTCTTGGATTTTTTCAGAAAAAATTTGAAGTGACAGGGCGAGAAAAAGATAAACATAAAAACAGGACTAGGCATCCTATTATAGCCCCAAATGCTACAATATGAGCCATGAAGTCAACACAAGAGGCTGGGTTTATAACAAACCACTGCGTTGATAGATGGAAAACTGTAACAAATAGGAAAAGGACTTTCCTTAATTGTTGGGGGCAAAATAGTAGCATATTTAAGTTGATTCAGAACCAGATTTGAATCTTTCTTTTTTCTGCAAATAAAAAAAATAATAAAGAGGCGAATCTGAGAACCAACAAATTAAATTGGTGTGGCCTAAAGTCAAGGTTGAAGCAGCATCATGTTTTGGAATTACATGTACATAATATTATAAAAATGTTTATTGTTGCCAATGATGATCTCATGTTTCTGACACAACTTGATGTTTCAACATCACACTCTAATTTTTTACTGACGGCAACTTTTCACATTTTGAAACTACCATACCTTTAAGCGTATACAACTGTAATAAAAGATCGCCTATTCCTCTTATTTTGTTTCAGAATGCAAGAGCTAGTGAGAAGAGGAGCGAACCAGTATCCTGGTGCAAAGTACATTATCCGAGATACGGGACACAGAATAGACCTCCGCTACCACCCTAAACCCAGCGACCTCCATCTACAGTGTGGCTACAAGGTAAGGAAAGCATCAGGAAAATTGTATTTTCCTATTTAATTCCCATATTGGGCATCTACAAAGTTACTAACCTGTTCTGGATCTGCCAAAAATATCACTACAATGTGTACTTGTCTTTTTTAAAGTTTTGACAATTGTGGTTTGTATCATGTGTTGGTGAACACATTCTGTGTAGACATGTGAAGGCTTTCTTGGAATAATGGTCTAACGTGCCATCATTAATCAGGTACTATTATGTTTACTGAAGAAAAATGTATTGTTTTTGCTCTGTTTATTCTTCCTCTTCTTCTCCAAACAAATAAGCTCAATAACCTGAACCAAACGTCTGTCACTATGGTGACTAGTGTTGGGTTACATCATGTTGCAATTCTATAGTAGGAGGGATTTAGACTCCTGTCTGACCATATATATGAATGTGTTTGAGTAAGAATTAACAGAGCAGACCATATGCGAAGGTAAACATGATGAACTTGCTTTGCAAATGTTATTTATCTTTCTAATCTAAACTACTGTGTAAAACAGTAAAACTAATTGTAGGACTGGTGTCTTTTAGTATGGTGGGACTATGGTACTCTGTGAAGATTGAAAAGTGATTTGTAATGAATCGATTTCTTGTTGTTGTACAGGTGGAGCGACACATTCGCGATGATGACATCGTGATCTTTAACCGTCAGCCCACGCTACATAAAATGTCCATGATGGGCCACAGAGTCAAGATCCTACCCTGGTCAACCTTCCGTTTGAACCTAAGGTAAGAACATCTTAGGTTTTGGATCTAAAGGTTAGGGGTTCGAATCCTATTCCTATAATATTGGGGTGGTTGTGGTGTTCCGCCATTTACCAAATTACACAATTTCGATCCAGAATCTTGCTACCTACAAAAAATTGTCAATAAGGCCACACCAATTTAATTTCTTGGTTAACAATTTTGCCCGCTTCATTTTTTTCTGATTTGCAAATAAAAATAAAAATTCAGAATCAACTGCAAAATGCTCATATTTTGCCACGAACAGTTGAAAACAGTCCTTGTCTTCCTAGTTGTTACAGCTATTCCATCTTTCAATGCAGTGGTATCATTAGAAGTTCCAAATTCATTGTTTAAATTTTGAACCAGCCTGGTGTGTTGACTTCATGGCTCCTATCATACCATTTGGCGCCATGATAGGATGTCTAGGCCTGTTTTTATTTTTATTTATTTTTTCACCCGCCAGCTCCATTATTCTTCTAGAAAAATCCGTTAACCAAGAAATTAAAATGGTGTGGCCATACTGGCTAAACAACAAATTAAATTGGTGCCGCTTTACTAAAAATGGCGTGTTTTGCCTTCACAGTGTAACAACACCGTACAACGCTGACTTTGACGGAGACGAGATGAACCTGCACGTGCCCCAGTCGGTGGAGACGCGGGCGGAGATCATGGAGCTGGCCATGGTGCCGCGTATGATCATCACGCCGCAGTCTAACCGCCCCGTCATGGGGATAGTACAGGACACACTCACCGCTGTCAGGAAGTTCACACGGAGAGATGTCTTCATCGACAGGGTTTGTCTCTTACTACTAATACTAGTATAAATTAGTTAAACCAAAATATATCTAATACAAGTTAGGCCTAGAAAAAAATGCTGTGTTTCCTGTTTCAGTCATGAAAAGATTTAGGGTCGGTAGGTAGGGAGTATATATATATATATATATTTTCATTTGACTTTGGCAATCTCTAGTAATCAAACTTATGCACTACAGTTTACAAAATGAAAAACTTGCATGAGGACACTTATATATTATATTTTCAAAAGTCAGTGTTGGAAAATATATTGCACAATGTTTCATCACTCAGGTGTCAGATCATGGAGCTACAAAAAAATGTAGAAAAGGTTGATCAGTAAAAAAAAATTATGTCTCTTAGAGTCTTGCAGGGGTCCACCAAAAAAAAGTCTAGGGTTTGCAGTTTTTTTCTAGGGTCGCTTGGGAAACAGGAAACACAACATGTTTTTTTCTTGGCCTAAACCAAAATATAACAATACAAGTTGGTTAGATGCCAAGTTTTCTGAATGCATGCATTTGATATGACTACCGGTATTGCCTGCATTTAATATAAAATTGACAATGGAAGACTGTAGAATTATTTTAGTTTTATTTATTATTAATATTTATCTATTATATTTATAAGGCTCTCATAACTCCTTGTTTAGGAAAAATACCTTTTTTTGTAACTGCTTATTCCAGTAAATGAGTAATCCCTGGATGGTTCATTTCAAGCAACCCCCTGTCAAACCATCATTTCCTTACTTCATACAAGGTTTTAATCATTATTAATTAATTAATGTGCTTGTCTAATTTTTAGGTCAGCTTTCCACAAGTCAATTTGATTTTTCTGACAGAAAGTTTGTTCCCCCCTCCCCATTACACACCATTTTGCTGGCCCCCCAACGGCCAACCTCTTAAAAAAAAAAGAAATCGTTTATCTTTAATAAGAAAATGATATACAATGCTCACAGTACAAGAGAAGGTGTTCTAAATCAAGGAGTCACTTGCAGTTCTTTTGTATTCAGAAAGGGGGCGCATATTTACATGTACCAATGCTATCTCTGTAACACACACAGGAGAGCATGATGAACCTACTGATGTGGTTACCCACGTGGGATGGTAAGATGCCCCAGCCGGCCATCCTCAAACCCAAGCCTCTGTGGACAGGCAAGCAGCTCTTCTCCCTCATCATCCCAGGACACATCAACTGTATCCGCATGCACAGTACGCATCCAGACGAGGAAGACAGCGGTCCATATAAGTGGATATCTCCCGGTGATACCAAGGTACGAGGATACTGTAAATATTGAAATTTGTGATGATCTCTCAGGGCTTGAAATTCATTTTGGGAATAGGTGTACTGGTGCACCCTACCTTAAAAATTAGGTGCACACAAATTTTCTAGGTTGCACCATGTAAAACAAAAACTAAATAGTAATTACAGGTCTTACTGCTCTGCTTCTGAGCTTGAATCTAGCTTCAAAATCTTAAACAAGTACTACAAGAAAGATTTTATTATTTTGTCGGATACTTAGATGCCAAGAATATCTTGTATACTATTATACATTTGATATGTACAAAAGTACCTACAAAAATATTTGGGTTCACTGGTGCACCCACAGAAAAAATTTGGGTGCTCAGCTCTAAACTTGGGTGCACTAATGTGCACATGCACCCAGTATTTCAAGTCCTGTCCCTCCACCACAGTAAATGATGGAAGGGATACTGTTATTCACTACATGTTTGCAGTTTGAGAAAATATATATAGGTACATATACATGTTGTATATAGACAGATCAGTGGCGTCGGTGGCGCAACAGTTAGAGCGTTGGACTCGGAACTGAGAGGTCCCGGGTTCGATACTCACCGTGGCCCGACGTTGTGACCTTGGGAAAGGCACTTTACACGACTTCCCCACCTATACGGTGGAGTGACGCCCACCGAGCCTCTTTGGCTAATCTGTCTGTCAGGGTGCCAAAAACACCTTACGGATTTGGTGCGCCGATATGACAACATCTCATATTGGCCACTGAGAGCCGTAAAATTTGTTGTTGAAATATAGACAGATACATACATTTAAAGATGTTTAATAAACATCTTTAAATGTGTGTATCCAAAAATAATATTGTTGCCAATGATGATCACATGTTTCTGACACAGCTTGATGTTTCAACATCACACTCTAATTTTTTACTGACGGCAACTTCTGTTTTCAAAAGATATCATTCCTCTTAGCTTGTACAAGTTGTAAAATGTTATTTTCTTCTCTTTAGGTCATTGTGGAAAATGGAGAACTGATCTCTGGCATCCTGTGTAAGAAGTCGTTGGGACCGTCTGGTGGCTCGCTGGTTCACATCGTAGCGTTGGAGCTGGGCCACGAGATCGCCAAACTCTTCTACGGATACATCCAGACGGTGGTCAACAACTGGCTTCTACTGGAAGGCCACACCATCGGTATCGGGGACTGCATCGCCGACACGCAGACGTACCAAGACATCCAGAACACCATCAAGAAGGCCAAGCTGGACGTGATAGAGGTCATCGAGAAGGCCCATAACGACGAGCTGGAGCCGACGCCCGGCAACACCCTCAGACAGACATTCGAGAATCAGGTGAGAGATTTTGGGCTGTTGTTTTCTCTTCGATATTTCTAAATTACTGGCGTAACAGGTGATACCGCTACGAAGTGCAGATCCAATTTGGCAGATTGTAAAAGCAACATTGGAACAGAAAGAAGAAATAGCCATGCCTTCAAGTACCAGAGTTATCAACCAAGGAATGAGGTGTTCAAGAATTTATTCTTTCCTAGAACTATCGCAGAGTGGAACTCACTGTCACCAAGTACAGTAGGGACATTATCATTAGATAGCTTTAAACAGTGTTTAGAGTTAGATGTTGAAGGGTTTGGTGTGACAAGTCGTTAGGTGTAATGTAGCCAGCTGCCGCCGCGCCGCGTGCCTGTGAAGCTGGTGTGTCACACTGAAGGGCGGTTATACTGGCTATACTGTTATAGTATACAGGCACAGATACAGACAGAAACAGAAATGAAGGACCATGTATTTTTGTTCCAGGTGAATCGAATCCTGAACGACGCTCGTGACAAGACTGGAGGCAGTGCCCAGAAGAGCTTGTCCGAGTTTAACAACTTCAAGTCCATGGTGGTGGCCGGCTCCAAAGGCTCCAAGATTAACATCTCACAGGTGACACTAATTCTTCACATGTTGATTTGACTATAAATACATGTAGATGACCCGCGCACACATGAATGTTCGACCGTTTCCAAAACAAAAGGTTTTCAACCTTACTGTTAATCGTACAAAACAGTTGCAAAATGAGCAAGTATACATGTATACTGTAAGTTGCAAAATAAATATTGGAAAACGATACCAATGTTGTAGAGGCAAAATTAAACGGAAAAGACGAAAATGTAAAGAAATGAATTGGAAGAGTAGATTGTCTCCCATACCATTGCTAAACTCATAATGTATTTTGCATAGCACTTTGACATACATGTAACATCTCATAGAAGGTCGTATTCGTGCATATAAGGTTAACATTCCGTCTGTAGTTTCCAAATGTTATGTCGGAAAGAATATCATCTACAACAAGCAAAAAAGATGCAAAATTCAATGAAAACCGTGAAAAATGGGGGTTTTGCGCAGGCGCAGTATGTTCTGCCGACGTGCTGTCTCGCTCACCGATCCTGTGCCGCTTGTTCCAGGTTATCGCCTGTGTGGGACAACAGAACGTAGAGGGAAAGCGTATTCCCTTCGGCTTCCGCCATCGCACGCTGCCGCACTTCATCAAGGACGACTACGGTCCCGAGTCTCGTGGGTTCGTGGAGAACTCGTACCTGGCCGGCCTGACGCCGTCGGAGTTTTTCTTCCACGCCATGGGCGGTCGTGAGGGACTGATTGACACAGCTGTGAAGACATCAGAAACAGGTAAGTCAGGGCTTGAACTTCATTTTTGGGAATAGGTATACTGGTCCACCCAACCTAGAAAATTAGGTGCACAAAAAATTTTTTGGGTGCACCATGTAAAACAAAATCTAATTACAGATTTTACTGCTCCTCTTCTGAGCTTGAATCTGAAATGGGAGCTAAACTTCAAAATCTTAAACAAGTACTAAATTAAATTAACAAAGATTTTATTTTCTGACACTTCGATGCCAACAATATCCTGCATTTTATTATACAGTTGATATGTACAAAAATACCTACAAAAATATTTGGGTGCACTGGTGCACCCACAGAAAAAAATTGGGTGCACAGCTCCAATTTTGGGTGCACTAACTTAAGGTGCACATGCACCCAGTATTTCCAGCCCTCTAAAGTTGTCAGTTTGAATTTTTGCACAGACTTGTACAATCTTTAGAAATGTTCTTGCAGAAAAGATATTGTCTATTGATAAAGTTCAAGAAATATATATTGATATCAGTTAGCCTCTCCAAAGGAAAAGAAATCAGATTTATTCTAGTAAGATAATGATATCCAACAGTTGTTACAGTTACTTGCAGTTCTTGTACATCCAGAAAGGGGGCGCATATTTACTGATGCTATCTCTGTCACACAGGTTACATTCAGCGGCGTCTGATCAAGGCTATGGAGAGCGTGATGATCGCGTACGATGGGACGGTCCGAAATTCTAACCGTCATCTGGTACAGTTGCGTTACGGAGAGGACGGCCTCGATGCTGTTTCCATTGAGTTTCAGAACCTGGCGACTCTCAAGCCTTCCAACAGATCCTTTGAGAAGAAGTTCAAACTGGACTACCAAAATGAAAGGTTTGTACTTGTTTAATCACACCATGGAGGTTTTTTTTTGATTTGCAGTTCTCTTTTGAGTCAATAGGTGTCTCTCTTAAATCAGTGTCCTGCAGTCACCTACAAAATACTGTAATTCACTTTATGTTCACGGTGGCAAAAGTTCACAATCTGAGAAAAATGGACATGTTCACGGAACTATATATTCACGGTGGTGACAGGTGCAGGAAAAAGAAGGTCCAGGAATTATTTGTTAACTGTAATGATAAGTTCACGGTACAGAAGTGACAGTGAAAACAATGAACATAACAGTACAGTGAAAAACTTGAGAAATGTCAGTATGCGAATTGGTTGATGTCTCAACCAGGTCCTTGAATTCTACACAGACGGTTTCCTGGAGTTGCAATTCTCTTTTGAGTCAATAAGTGTCTCTCTTATACTGTAAATCAGTGTCCTGCAGTCACCTATGAAAAATTCTACTGTAAAGCATTTTCCGGGTTTGCTTGAGATACAGTTTTCTTTCGAATCAATAGGTGTCCCTCTTAAATCAGTGCCTTGACTCTTCCAGTCACCCGTGAAAGAGGGCCTGCATGCCCTTTTTCGTAAGGCGTAATCAGGCCTTTTTAGTCTTCGTAATCCGTAGCCAGCCGCCCCCAAAATCAACGTAAGTCGTAATAGTGCATTAGCTGGAAATCATAAAGCCGTAATCAACTCTGAGACGTTAACGTAATTCATAATTGGGGGCGAAAATTGAGCGTAATTTGTAATGACTACCCCCCATGCAGGCCCTCATGAAAAATTCTACAGTAAAACATTTCCCGGGTTTGCTTGAGATGCAGTTCTGGTCTAAATCAGTAGGTGTCTGTTCCTGATCCGTGCTTTGTGTCCTGTAGGTACCTGCGGAGAATCCTGCAGGAGGACATCGTGCGTGAGATCACCAGCGACGCGCGCCTGCAGACGGAGATTGAGGCGGAGTTCGAGCAGCTGCGAGTGGACAGGGACGTGCTGCGATCTGTCAATCAAACAGGCGACGCCAAGGTGGGGGGAAAGTCACAACAGTGTGGGCCTTAGAAATTTGTGTGGCGTCTGTGTGGTGTAGTGGATAGAGCACCCGACCGTCAAGCAAAGTATGACCCAAAGTCAAGCGAGTAGACCCAGGTTCAATCCCGGGGTTGGACTCAGACATGTCCGGACATGCACCCAGACGTTGTGCCCTTGGGAAAGGCACTTTACACATATTTCTCCCCTCAGAAGGATCCTGGGCCCTACTAGGGTTTGGGTTGGTGTTAGGAAGGGCACCCAGCCATAAAAAATCTTGCTGCAAAAAAATTTGATGCAAGCACGTCTAACCCCCGTCTCAAGGAAAAATGATGCTAAAATTGGATTTAAAAAATCAGGACAAAAAATGTTATGTTAACTGACCAACCCTAGAAAAAAACTGGCGACCCTACAATCTTTTTTGTTAGACTGTATTGTATAGGTTGGATCACTAGAAATCGCCTATAAAAGTCTATAAAAAAGGAAGAAAAGATTATCCCAACCCTTAAGTTTTTTTCAGGACTAAATATGGGAAACACAAGATTTTGTTTCCTACCCCTAGGCATCTAACTTGTTATGTTGTTTTTAAGGAAGCAATGGTTTGTTTTAACACCTAATTTTTGGCCAATGGGTCCAAGAGATCTGGACATGTGATATATTTGTGACATTTTTTTGATGTCTGATAAAAATTTCTTGCTTGCTTGTCCCAGGTGGCACTGCCTTGTAACTTGGCCAGGATTATTTGGAATGCCCAGAAGATCTTTCATGTTAACACCCGGGCACCCACTGACCTTCACCCAATCAAGGTCGTTGAAGGTGAGTCTCTTTAATTTCAGTTTCTCAGTAGACTTACAATTTGGGTACTTGCTTTAAGATTTCCAGTGTTGATATCTCTTGTTTTGGGCATGCTATTGTGATGTATTTTCAAAGGTAGCTTTTGGGCTCGTTTTGGACCCTCTAGCAGCTTTTTTGGAACTGCAGGGGACGATTTTGTTTGTATCTTTCAGATGTTCGAGACTCTTGGGCTTATTAGATTTGGACCCTCTAGCAGCTTTTGTGGAACTGCAGGGGTTGATTTTGTTTGTGTCTTTCAGGTGTTTGAGACTCTTGGGCTTATTAGATTTGTACCCTCTAGCAGCTTTTTTGTAACTGCAGGGGCTGATTTTGTTTCTTATAGGTGTTCGAGACTCTTGGGCTTATTAGATTTAGACCCTCTAGCAGCTTTTTTTGAACTGCAGGGGCTGATTTTGTTTGTGTCTTTCAGGCGTTCGAGAGCTGAGTAAGAAGCTGGTGATTGTGAAGGGCGATGACCCCATCAGCATCCAGGCGCAGGCTAACGCCACCATCCTGTTCAACACCCTCCTCCGCTCCACACTCTGTACGCGGCGCGTACTGGAAGAGTTCCGCCTCTCCACCGAGGCGTTTGATTGGCTGTTAGGAGAAATCGAGTCCAGGTTCAACCAGGCTATTGTGAGTATCCAAACTTTTGATAATGTTTATAATTTTTGATAATGAGTCCTTAGTCTATTATAATTTAGTCTATTACCAGATAGGTTCCCATACTATAGTAAGATTGTATACTATTGCAAGAGTGCAAGAATACGTAAGGTTTGAGACTGTATAAGTTGAAATTTGATCTTTGTTCGTTTAGCGTAGATTTGCGCCTTGATACTGTCACAGCCTAGTGCTGTGCGCTTGCTGCAGTTCCATGACCTTCCGCATAGCGCTTTTAAAAGATTGCATCACGAGTGAACTAGCAGACAAACTTCAGCCCATTTTCACATATTTTGTACATTATACCTTGAACTCAAACTTATTCAAATTCTGAACCTAACTTTTGTACCCTTCTATATTTTTTACCGCGTAGGTCACATTGGGGTTCTTAACTATAGAAATCCCCATAGGCCAGAAACTGTGTCCTGCTACCTTAATACATAATGTAATTGTGACAACTGTGCACTCTACTTCCCCCAGGTCCAGCCAGGTGAGATGGTAGGAGCGCTGGCTGCCCAGTCCCTGGGAGAGCCCGCCACACAGATGACACTAAACACGTTCCATTACGCCGGCGTGTCGGCCAAGAACGTCACGCTGGGTGTGCCACGTCTCAAGGAGATCATCAATGTCTCCAAGAAGCCCAAGACTCCGTCACTGACGGTGTTCCTGCTGGGACAACCAGCTAATGATGCGGAGAAGGCAAAGGTAGGAAACAGTGTACCTGATGAATGATAGATAGGACATGTTCAGGGTTCGAAATTCAATTTTGGCAATTGCACCATATAATTTATAAAACAAAACCTAATTACAGATCTTACTGCCCCTCTTCTGAGCTTGAATCTGAAATAGGAGCTAACTTCAAAATCTTAAACAAGTACTACAACAAAAGTTTTATTGTTTTTCTGACACTCAGATGCCAGGAATATCCTGTATGCTATTATACATTTGATATGTACAAAAATAGCACCAGTGCACCCACAGAAAAAAATTGGGTGCACAGCTCCAATTTTGGGTGCACTGAGGTGCACATGCACCCAGTATTTCCAGCCCTGATTACATTGGATATTTGGGTTACCCTTTTTGGCCCTTTCAAACTGACTCTGAAGCTACATAATTGTAGGTTATTTTAACCTGGACCACCTTACAAACACAATCATTATGTACCTGTCAAGAATGATTTAAATGTACAAATTTCTAAAGAAAGCTGTTACCTTTTTCCCTAGGATATCCTCTGTAGATTGGAGCACACGACCCTTAGAAAGGTCACGGCGAATACCGCCATCTACTACGACCCTGACCCTCAGAACACGGTGATCGAGGAGGATCAGGAGTTTGTTAACGTGTACTACGAGATGCCGGACTTCGACCCTCACCGCATCTCGCCCTGGCTGCTGCGTATCGAGCTGGACCGCAAACGCATGACGGACAAGAAGCTGACCATGGAGTCCATCGCAGAGAAGATCAATGCAGGTAAGGCCACAGCAAGTAAATTATATGGATGACATCCTCCTCAGACTCCAAATCTAATGCGAGCGGGCAAAAAAAACAAGGCGAGCCGAAAAAAACAAGGTTCCGATATTTTAGAATTTTGACTCAATAATTGTACAAATGGTTTTGATTCAGTGGGAACATCACATATACACAGCCAACATCACATATCACTGCATCAAAGTAAGAAACAAAACATTAAATCAGAGACTTTTCTTGTCTCCTCTCATACCAGCCTGGTATGTTGACCTCAGGGCACCTTTCATACCTTTTGGGGCTATCAGAGGATGCCTTGGTCTGTTTTTAGTTTTATTTTTTTTGTCCTGTCTCTTCATATTTTTTCTGGAAAAGTCCGGAAACCAACAAATCAAATTCGTGTGGCCTAAAATTGATTTAAAAATTGAATTGAAAAACTTGTGTGCAGATAAGCACTGAAATTCATATGTGTATTGTTGCCAATGATGATCACATGTTTCTGACACAACTTGATGTTTCAACATCACACTCTAATTTTTTACTGATGGCAACTTTTTGAAATTTGAAAACACAATACCTTTAAGATTTGCACAACAAGAGGCTACAAATGAAAAAATGCTACTTTCTTTCAGGCTTCGGAGATGACTTGAATTGTATCTTCAACGATGACAACGCTGAGAAGCTGGTGCTTCGAATCCGTATCATGAACAACGACGACAGCAAAATGATGGACGTAAGTGGACGGCTCTCATGTTTAAACTGTTATCAATAGTGAAATATCTGTTAAACATTACTGTAGATATTATGTCAGGAAAAGACATACCATTGTTTAGAGCGAAGTACAACGTAACTTCTTCAACTAAGAGTTTTTAGTGGTTACGAAATACTTTTTTCAATGTTCTGCACTATTGCAAAATGCAAAATGCAGATGGATATTTCAAACACTGCTTTTCATGTCAATCAGCAAAAAGTTGAAATATAAGGCATATAGCTACTTGCATTTTCTAAACCCCAAGGTCACACACCATAATAGGCTTAGAATACAGATACAAATTTATGTGACACTCGGATAGTGTAAATTTATGTACCTGTAATTATGTTTACCAAAGGAAAACATGTTGTTTTTGCTCTGTTTCCTCTTCTTCTTCTCCAAACAAATGAGGTCAATGACCTGAACCAGATGTCTGTTGCCATGGTAACTGGTGTTGGGTTACATCATGTTGCAATTTTATAGCAGGAGGGATTTAGACTCCTGTCACCATATATATGAATGTGTTTGAGTAGGAATTAACAGAGCAGACCATATGCGAAGGTAAACATTATGCATTTGCTTTGCAATTGTTATATTTCTAGAGGTTTTTTGTTTTCCTTGCTGCAGGAGGAGGAGATGGTGGATAAGATGGATGACGATGTGTTTCTGCGCTGTATCGAGGCCAACATGCTGACAGACATGACACTACAGGGCATCGAACAGATCGCTAAGGTACACATTTCTGTCGACTGCTAGCAGCTTCTTCATCTGTATTGTTACAGACAGTATAACCACCCTTTGGCGTAACACACCAGCTTCACAGAATCAGCGTAGCTGTCATTCATGTTTTAGTCGACCAAGGCTAGCCAGGGGTCTCCCCATAAAGGGGAGAGGTGCTCTCTAATCGGTTGATGAAAAATCAGCAAATTTTCATGTAAATACTTAGAGAAAACCCTAACTTTGAACATTTTGGGAGAGGTTCTATCATTTTGGGATTAGGGGGAGCACCCTTGCTCCATTGCTTGGGAACAGCCCTGCTAGCAGTTTCTTGTTTTCAAAGATATGAGCAAAGCTTATGGTTGGTTTATTTGTCTGCTTTGGAATTATGATTGGTAGAGCCTGTCCTGGCCTGGCTGTGTCGATACGTTCGCTGCCTGAATATTAAGGTGAAAACTAGGATGTCCTTTGTGAGAAACTAACATTGGTTTCTAAATTTCTAAGTGAACACAAGAAAGAAGACTATTGTTTTCTTGTTTAGAAATCAGACTTTGTGTTATGCCACTAGTCAGATTTTTAGGATATTACTGTAATTCCTGATTTTTTCACTGTATCTTTATGTTCACTGTTTCACTGTCACTTCTGTACAGTGAACTTATCATTACAGTTATAACAAAATAATAATTCCTGGACTTTCTTTTTCCTGCACCTGTCGCCACCGTGGACATATAGTTCCGTGAACATGTCCATTTTTCTCAGACCGTGAACTTTTGCTACTGTGAACATAAAGAGACTTACAGTATCAGGTATACCGTTTCTTTCCTGACACCTGCACTCTTCCCCCCAGGTGTACAGACTTTGTGTTATGCCACTAGTCAGATTTTTAGGATATTATCAGGTATACCGTTTCTTTCCTGACACCTGCACTCTTCCCCCCAGGTGTACATGCATTTGCCGCAGCAGGACTCCAAGAAGAGAATCATCATCACAGACGAGGGAGAGTACAAGGCCCTACAGGAGTGGATCCTGGAGACAGACGGAGTCAACCTCATGAAGGTTCTCTCCGAGAAGAACGTCGACCCTGTCCGAACCACGTCTAACGACATCGTAGAGATATTCCAGGTAAATGGTTTGATTTCATCACTGTGAAATCGGTATTGTTTCGACTATGTTTGTAAACTTGGGCCTTGAAATGCCACTTGCATATGCAGGTTAGTGCAGCAAACAATAGCATAGTACAGTCATCAACAATAGCATAATACAATGTCTTCTGAGGTCAGATGGTCAGTAATTCTTTGTTTTAAATGTATATGAGATGCTGTATATATAGTTTGTGTTTCTATGTCTGTACCGTTGTTTTCTATGGTTGAAATACCTGAAATAAAGAAATTCATTCATTCAAAGTTGGAGCTGTACAGGTACAAATGTATATCTGATGTCTGCTATTCTAGTTGCACCAGTCCATGTATACATGTATGTAAACGTGGATATTTTTTTGGTGGTCTGTTACCAGATATAAAATGCTCGCAAAGATTGGAAATGGTTTCAGAACTGTATCATCCAAAAGTTTCTAAAAGCAATGTTGAAGTTTACATACAAGCATTGCTGATTTTGTCTACATCATAAACATGCAAGTTATTTGAAAACTCATGCAATTTTATTGTCAGGCAAATCATCCAACTATCACTGGCTATCACGCGCTTTTCGTGAACGCTCATTTGCAGCAGTATAGATATACAGAGAAAAGTACAAAAACCTTTACCCTGAGTATGAATGACACCATCCAGAAACATTTCTAGCAGAAATAGTACCTCTACAAAAGTGTAAAATAACATGATCCCATCTTTTGTTAGATCCTTGGCATCGAAGCTGTGCGGAAGGCGATTGAGAAGGAGATGAACCACGTTATCTCCTTCGACGGTTCCTACGTGAACTACCGCCACCTGGCACTGCTGTGTGACATCATGACCCAGAAGGGTCATCTCATGGCCATCACGCGCCACGGGATCAACCGCCAGGAGGTCGGACCTCTCATGAAGTGCTCCTTCGAGGAAACGGTAACGTTCTTACGCAATTCTGAAACTGTTTTCTACTCAATCCTTATTGTGCTGATATCATTGTATCAGTCTAGTTTCAGGACACTGTATACAAGTACTGTTGATCTTTGGATTTAAATTGATTCCCTTTGTGTAGAAATACTGGGTGCCAAAATTCGAGCTGTGCACTCAATTTTTTTTTGTGGGTGCACCAGTGCACCCAAATATTTTCGTCAGTTTACGTATGTAAAGATGTTAAATGTATAGTAGTATACAGCATATTCTTAAATTCAGAAAAATTATAGTATCATCGTAGAAGTACTTTTCCTTAGAAATAAAACATAATTAGTTTTTGCTAACATTCTTATTTTATCTTACATGGTGCACCCAGAAAATTTTTTGTGCACCCATTTTTTTTAGGTTGGGTGCACCAGTGCAACGTTAACTATTACCCCAAATGGATTTTGAGCCCTGTGATGATATGGTATTTGATGATTACCATATTCCTGCCCACCCCAGGTTGACATCCTGATGGAGTCAGCGTCCCACAGTGAGACAGACTACATGTGGGGGGTGTCAGAGAACATCATGCTGGGACAGCTGGCACGGATCGGGACGGGCTCCTTCGACTTGATGCTGGACGCAGAGAAGTGCAAATACGGCATGGAGATCCCCACTAACCTGGTGGGAGGGGGGCTGATGGCTGGGCCAGGTACGACACTGTTGTTTTGTAATCTTCGTTACTGGTCTGCTTCATTGATGTTTGAACCTACCCTTTAGGTGGGACTTCTTATGCAGGGCTCGAAATACTGTGTGCATGTGCACCTTAGTACACCCAAAGTTGGAACTGTGCACCCAAATATTTTTGTAGATTTACTGTATGTATGTTAAGATGTTAAATGTATTATATAGTAATATACAGCATATCTGAAAAATGATAAAATCACAGTACCCAGTAGTAGTACTTTTCTTTAGAAATGTATCACTTGATTTTTATGAACTGACAAACTTTTTTCCTTGAGTTGACCTTTCCAACCCAGTCAAACTAACTCTCACCAATATGTTGAATAGTTAAAACAGAGAAATGGAAACATTAGTTGAATCAGAAGTATAGAATTTGCATAGAATATGACTTGAAAACTCTTCAGCTTTAAAAGTAAGAAATTTGAGCAAAGATGCATTTGTACTATGAACAAGGAAAACTGACAATAATTGCCTTCACTTAAGTGGATGTACTTCTAAGAGCTTAATTTAAATCAAAGATCATTGGCTTGGACTCATCCTTTTGTCCTGAGACCATATTGTGGATGAAACTTTTCCCTGAATGTTACAATGAATTAGAGTTCGGATCCGTCATAGATATCAGTGGAACCATCCTATGAATAATTTAGTTCCTTATGAATCTTGCAGAGCCAGAGGAATTAATTTTATACTTTATTGTAATCGACTATGTTGAGAATGTGCTTGCTCATAAGCACAGTTCATTTTACCTGTTACTGTCTTTGTGTAAATGTAACAATAATGTAAAAGTGGCGCAACGGCAGCGTGCGCGACTCAGAACCAAGAGGTCCCGGGTTCGAGCCCTGACATGCCACCGATCTTGCGCCCTTGGGAAAGGCACTTAACATGACTTTCCCCACTAGACTCAAGTGAAAATGAGTATTGTCTGTCCAGTATTCGTTTCTATGTGCGAGACACAACACCAGCAACAGCTGCCTCTGTTCTGCGTGTATTGTACTGTTGCAATTTCAATAAATCAAATCAAATATGAAGTACTGAGAAATGCTGGGTATAAGAGGTTAACCTGTGAAGTGTTGCAGTAGTTCTGTATGGGATGTACAGGTAGCATTGCCAGGAGAGATGACAGTGTTTATGCACGTGTTACAGGACCAGGGATGTTCTTTGGGAACGCGGGATCTCCCACGGCGTCCATGTCACCGCAGATGACACCGTGGCAACAAGTGGGCACGCCCGCTTATGGTGGGGCGTGGTCACCAGGACTCGGTAAGTTACAGTCATCAGATGTGCAACAGGAATGGTCGGGGCTTGTGGAGATAATTTGGGTTCCGTATCTTTTGACTTGTTGGGTAAATAGATATCTTACACTACAGTGTGTATCTTAGACCAACATCTCTATATTTCTTAGTACTGGGGTAAAGATACTGGATACCATTATGTAGAGTGTGAAGGAATTCTATGTAATTTCTTTGAACTTTATGCTATGGTATCTTCAGTTTCAAATGACATTTAACAGGCTAGAGGGTACAGGTCAAATTTAACTGTAGGGCTCGTTTTGACAAGTAGACATGTAACGTTTTGGCTTTAATGCTGTGCATTTGAAATTTGGAAACTTGCTTTTAAGCTGAAACAGACCTTTTCTAACTCAAATATCCCTACCACCACAGGAAGTGGCATGACTCCTGGAGCTGCAGGATTCTCGCCCTCTGCTGCGTCAGATGCCAGTGGGATGAGTCCAGCAGGCTACAGCCCAGCCTGGTCCCCCACCCCCGGCTCCCCAGGGTCCCCGGGCCCTGCCAGTCCCTACATCCCCTCCCCGGGGGGACCCATGTCTCCCAGCTACTCGCCGGCCTCCCCTGCGTACATGCCGCGCAGCCCCGGCGGGATGACGCCACAGAGTCCCGGCTACTCGCCGACTTCGCCGTCGTATTCACCGACATCACCGAGCTACTCGCCGGCAAGTCCCAACTACAGCCCAACGTCGCCGAGCTATTCACCGACGTCGCCGAGCTACAGTCCGACCAGTCCGAGTTACTCCCCGACCTCGCCGAGCTACTCACCAACCAGCCCAAGTTACTCGCCAACATCACCGAGCTACTCACCAACGAGTCCGAGTTACTCACCGACCTCGCCATCGTACAGCCCAACCTCTCCTTCCTACAGCCCAACGTCACCCTCCTACAGCCCAACTTCACCTTCCTATTCCCCCACCTCTCCGTCTTACAGTCCTACCAGCCCGTCTTACAGCCCCACCAGTCCATCCTACAGCCCCACCAGCCCCTCTTACTCACCCACGTCTCCCAACTACACACCCACGTCACCCAAGTACTCACCCACCTCCCCCAGCTACTCACCCACCAGTCCTTCGTACTCCCCAGCCTCACCCAGCTACAGTCCCACCAGTCCCAGCTACTCACCCAGCTCACCCAACTACTCTCCCCAGTCCCCCAGCTACTCACCCAGCTCACCCAGCTATTCCCCATCCAGTCCCAAGTACTCTCCAACCTCACCCAGCTACAGCCCAACCTCACCCCAGTACACCCCCACCTCACCCAAGTACAGTCCCACGTCTCCCAAGTACAGTCCCTCCTCACCCAAGTACACTCCAACATCCCCCAAGTACAGCCCTTCCTCACCCAAGTACAGCCCCTCGTCTCCCAAGTACTCACCCACCTCCCCCACCTACTCCCCATCCAGTGCCAAGTACTCCCCTGCCTCGCCTAGCTACTCCCCCTCCACTCCAAAATACACACCCACGTCTCCCAAGTACAGCCCCGCCAGCCCCACCTACACACCCACGTCCCCGAAATACAGTCCCACCTCACCCAGCTACACTCCAGACACTCCAAAGTACAGCCCCACATCTCCTAAGTACAGCCCCACGTCTCCGACCTACTCACCCACCAGTCCCAAGGGTTCCACCTACTCCCCGACCACCCCGGGTTATTCCCCGGCCTCCCCCACGTACAGCCCCGAGAGCCCAGAAAGCCAGGCCACGCATGAAGAGGAGGAGGACGAATCTTAAATGTTGTCTAAACCAGCCTGATGTGGCGGACATGGACATGTGCAAGATCAGAGGACACTGACTGTGAGAAAAGGTTGTGCCATGGACTCAAGTGGTCATAAAATGATACAGACGAGAATGTCAAGAAATGACAGTAGGTACCAGGTGTTCATTCTAATACCGATAATCTTTGGTGATTACCTACTATAAATGCTGCCATTTGTGAACATGTCAGCAAATTGTAAATGGCAACATTAGAACCTGCTACAAAAGATTGGCTGTACCGAGTCCAGAATTTGGTAGCTTCAGCGAATTGTAAACAGAAAGGTTCAGTTAAGTTTTCTATGGCATCAGTAACATTTCTCTGTTTTGAAGATGCAGGGCTTATGAAGCTATGGTTGGTATCCTTTTTGACAAAAATTTGACAGGAACCATACTGAATGCAAGGAGACAAAGGCATCATTTGGCCTCCTGGACAATTTGTCCAACAAGCCTAGACCATAGCTTTTCGCTATGGCTGAATTGTACATAAATCCTTGTAGAAAATATCAGGTTTCTCCTGGAACATGTACTTAGTGAAAGGACAAAAATATCAATAAGGTAGCAAAAGCACACTTTGTGAGAAGACTATATACACGGTGGTGCCAGATTGTAATACACGTTTCTTTTGTACATGGTAACAAAAATGTGCTGTTCTCAGTAACGTTAGGTGCTACACTGAACATTGTCATTAAGTCATATCCATCTTCCAATATTGATGATCATTGTGAAATGATTTTGTTTTATTCACTTGTCTAAGTGAAGGTAAAGTAGACAAAGGGATAACTAAACATTCTTAAGGATAGGGATGACACTTTGTTGTTTTTGTCCAGAATTTTTCAATACAGGAGTTGAAAAAAAACAAGTTTGATCTTTATTATTCTCCACTCAAAAAATGTACATCAGCAGGGGGGAGTGCAAAAAGCACCCCCTCTGAATTGGGTACAAATTTTCACATTTCCCTCATTAAAAAAAAAATTCACACAACACATCTACTTAAAAACATATACAAAGACACATACAAGAATTATTTACAATATATACACAGTTCATGCCGATTTCTGCAGTGAGTCGTTGTACAGTCTGATCGCGCAATGCAGGAAGGACTGCTGCAGACGCTTGGTTCTTGCGTGAGGGATCGTGAAGTCGTGGCTGTTCCTCAGGGATCTGCCTGTGGCTGAGTGTCTTTGGACAGGAGCCAGGTCATGCAGTGGATGATCCGGTCTTAGCATGGCCTTGAAGAGGGTCACTACAGCGGCTTCTCTCCTTTCCTTCAGGGAAGGCAGGTCCGGAACGGAACGCCTGCCGCCGCGTGAGATAATCCGGAGGGCGCGCCTTTGAACTCTCTCCATGCTAGCTGCCAGGTCCTCACTGCAACCCACCAACAGGACATGTCCGTACTCCAGAACAGGGCGGATGAGACTCAGGTACACCTGGATGAGATCTTCCACGCTCATGCCCTGTTTTGTTAGCAGACGGAGGTAGTGAAGCCTGCTCGAGGCCTTAGACACCGTAGACTTCACATGCTCACGCCAGGAGAGCTTGTCGTCAAAGATGAAGCCAAGCCCCTTGGCCACGTTAGTGACTGGAACAGGTTCGCCACCGAGAGACAGAGGTGGTAGAGCTGGTATGTTTCTGCTAAAGCAGATCAGCATCGCTTGGCTTTTCTTGCCGTTCAGGAGCATCTCGTTGCGGTCCGCCCAGGTGTCAAGCTGCGACGCTTCCTCTGTCATAGTAGTGTCCGTGCCAGCATTCTTCAGGGAGACTGATCTGGACAAACTCACGTCGTCTGCGTAGCCCACGTCTAAAGTGTCGCTATGGACCACTTCGCGTGAGCTCATGAACAGAAGGAACAGATAAGGCGATAACACTCCACCTTGCGGTACCCCTGACGTAAGCTGCCGCCAGCCACTGAACTCGCCGTTGGCAGCCACTCGCTGAGTGCGACCCTGTAGGTAGTTTTGCAACCACGCTACCATCCGTGGACTTGGCACAACGTCGTTCACCCGCTGTAGTAGTATTGCGTGGCTCACCCTATCAAACGCTTTGCTCATGTCAGCAAAAAGGGTCTGAACACAGGTTTGATCCCTGGAGTCGAGAGCGCTCAACCATGTATGGATCATCCTGATGACGGCGATGACGGTGGACGAGCCCTTGAGGTAGGCATACTGGTTGGTGATGACAGGTGTGATAGACGGGAGGAGTCTCTTCAGTATGCACCTTTCCAACAACTTGGCTAGGACAGGGAGGAGAGACACAGGTCTCATGTCGCTGGGTTTGGTTGCCCCCTTTGACTTTGGAATGGGGACTACGTTTGCTGCCTTCCAAACACTCGGTACCGTACCCCCTCCATAGGAGTTAGGTATATATTGGGTGCACATGGTAGTAGCATATGCCGGCAGTATAAAATGTACGCCATTGACCTATGTGGAACTTTCCAGAAAATTGCTAGATGTTGCGTTTGAAACATTGGCAACTTTGCAGCCAGAATTTAATATTAGACCTTATGGTTGGTGTTCAGTTTTGTGCTGGAAGCTATATATGCTATGCTGTGTGCTAACACTTCTCTATCCATGTACAAAGAGTATAGAGTTACATAGCAGCACAGGCACCATCATAATCATGGTATGCCCAAGGTGGTTGTAATAAATAAAAAAACAATGTAACTTTACTTTGAACGCCTGTGCAATTATGACGGTGTGGACAGTTAGGTTCATTTCAAAGTGGTTTCTTTCTTCTGTTATTGTTCAATAGGTTATGGAAGTAATAAAGTGTACATAAACTGTAGTCTGACCTTTGTCGTTTCTGTCCAGTGTACTTTTGAAGTTTCAGGTTGTGTTCCTTAGCATCTTATTTGACCTATTAATATTCAAATCTCCAGATCCATACTAGCTTGTCCGTGGTGGTCCAAAGTATGTATATTTGTTGATGCTAAGGCCACACCAATTTAATTTGTTGGTTCTCGGATTCACTTCTTCATGTTGACTTATTTGCAAAAAAAAAAAAAAGATTCTGGTTCTGAATCAATTCAAAAATTTTGCCCCCAACAGTTGAAGAAAGACCATTGTCTACCGCATTCCCTCTTATGTCAGGCAGACAGAATACTTCAGGTGATTGAGCCTGTCCACCCCCGTGTAGACTCTAGTTGGTATCGCCCAAAGTTGAAGGGTCACCCTCCCTGCGCATGCGCACCAGTCTAATTTTTTTGAGCAACCTGTAAACACCTTCGTGTTTTGCGTTGGTATCATGGGGTCTAGGCGTGAAAAGCAACGCGATAGACATCGTTCGAGGGCGCCTTCGGGTCCTAGGGCGACCGAGGAGAGTTCCAAGCGCGAACGTGGCGGTTCCCGGCGGCGTTCCAGCGGCAGGGAGCGCGAGGAAGGCGGGACAAGCCCGGGCGGGTCGGCGCACCATGTGCGTGAAAACGACCGCCATGACAGTCGTCAGAAGTCGTCTTCTCCGGCTATGCCGGTTCTCAGCGCTGACGGAAGCCAGCAGGAAGGCGACGGCGAACAGAAGCAGCCGCCCACGGTTCAGCAAGACGGCAACTTGCCGTCTGACGGAGACATAAGCAGTGGTGGCGGCGACGGAAGCAAGAAGACGCATGATAGCGAAACGGAGTTTTCGCCAACAAACGTCCGCATCTCTGCCTTGGAGCAGAGTTTTGCGTCCATGTCTCAGAGGCTAGAGGCGTTCCAGGAGCTGATGTTAGCTCAATTTGAGCAATCTTCACCGAGGAAACGACGCAGCGCTCGTCCAGAGACGGCAGTTCCTGAGAAGCGCCGGAAGGAAGATAGCGCTAGCGCCCGCAGTGGCAAGCAGCGCTCCCCGTCTCACGACGGGGCGGAAGGAGAGAGCGTCAGCGGTGACTCCGGCGAGCATCCGGCGGTGGCAGTTCCTGAGAAACGCCGGAAGGAAGATAGCGCTAGCGCCCGCAGTGGCAAGCAGCGCTCCCCGTCTCACGACGGGGCGGAAGGAGAGAGCGTCGGCGGCGACTCTGGCGCTAGCGACTCGGTGTGGAAGCCGTTCGACCCGACGAACAAGGACACCATGCACTCATGGGTAGCCGACGATGTTGTCTTTTCTGAAGTAGAAAAGTACTTCAAGCATGACCAGCAGCGCCGGGGTACAGACTTAGAGGCGTGGCAGCAGAAGTTCAGCATGCCCGACAACGCTCCATCCACGATGGTTGCACCGAGTTTCAACGACAACATAGCCAGGGCTGTCGTCGACAATGACAAGAAGCAGGGTGAGCAGATCATTTCTCATGATAAGGCTCTAAAGAACATCCATTCGAACTTGGTGCATATTGGTACACCTTTGATGAATCTGTGGCAGATGATTCAGCGTTGTAATAGTGAGAACTTTGAAGAGTTGCAGCTAGAGATGAGTGACTGTGCTGGTTCAGCACTTGTGTTGCTGGGGTCGCTACATTCTCAGTTGGCGTTCACCCGACGCACGTTCATAGCAGAGTCATCCCAGAAGAAGTTTAGAGACCTTTTCAAGGCAGCATCTGAAGACCCAGAGTTCCTGTTCCCGCCTGACATGGGGTCAAAGGCTAAGGACTTGTCGTCAGAGACGAAAGTGCTGGTTGGCATGCTCAGCCAGGACGACCAGGGGAAGTCTTCAGTGCCGAGGCGTGGTGCTCGTCGCGGCGGCGGCAGAGCAACTGGCGGAGGGTTCAGCTACAGCTACAGAAACTCCCGCTACATGCCACGGGCCAATTATGGCCAGTACAGTTACAGGGGTTCACAAACCCGACAGTTCTACAACCGCAACCAGTCCTTTCAGTCTAAGTCGGGGGACGGGAAGCAGAAGCAGTCCAAGTAACAGACACGGCTTCAGAGGGAGAAGCACGCCGGCGTTTGACCGAATTTCAACATGTACCCAACACTACTCAGCTACTTCACGGAGGCAGGCTAGCCCACTTCATGCAGGAGTGGAGGCAGTTGACTTCCGATCCTTGGGTTCTTCAGTGCGTCAGGGGGTACAGGTTGGAATTTGCGAGAACGCCTCCGGTGCAACGACATCTGCCATCTTGTTGAGCAAGAAGTCCAGCTCAGATAGAAGTTCTGAGCGGAGAGGTAGAGACTCTACTTGCCAAAGGGGCAATAAAGGAAGTTCAGTATCAACACAATCAGTTTGTTTCAACTTTGTTTACAGTGCCAAAAAAGACAGGAGGTCTTCGTCCTGTTATCAACCTGAAACCATTAAACAAGTTCTTAAATGTTCAGAAATTCGAGATGGAAACTCTGGGAGTTATCAAGAACCTGGTTCGACCAGGAGATTTTATGGCAAAGTTGGATCTCAAGGACGCATACTTTACCATCCCGGTAGATGCGGACAGTCGCCGGTTCCTCACCTTTCAATGGCAGGGCCGGTTTTACCAGTTCCAGTGCCTGCCCTTCGGCGTGGCGACCGCCCCGAGGGTCTTCACGAAAGTGTTGAAAGTTCCTGTGGCTATCCTGCGAAGACGGGAGTTTCGTCTAGTGGTGTACTTGGACGACATCTTGGTGATCGGCCGCTCCAGAGAAGCATGCCGAGAAGCTCTTTGGGCAGCCATAGAGCTCCTGTCAAGGCTGGGATTCGTCCCCAACCTCGAGAAGTCTGTTCTAGAGCCATCACAACGCATAACCTTCCTCGGTTCCGGCATCGACACAACACAGATGGTTACTTTTCTCCCCGAGAGCAAAGTTCTAGAGCTACAGCAGTTAGCACAAGACGTACTGACTGCAGACAGAGGGATGTCGGCAAGAGAGTTAGCAAGCGTGATTGGCAGGCTACAAGCCACAACCACGTCCGTATGGCTGGCGCCGCTGCACTTCAGAAGTTTGCAGCGTCTGCTCATCACAGTTCTGCGTGTGACAAGAGGTCACTGGGAACAGCTCGTACCACTGACAGAATCAGCAAGAGCAGACTTAAGATGGTGGACAGATCACCTACCCAGACACAACAGTCGTCCAATCCTCTCACCCGCAGCAGACATTGTGGTGGAGACGGATGCCTCTACTGCCGGCTGGGGTGGGTACAGCAACGGCGTACATACAGGAGGCCGGTGGTCTGTCGAGGAAGGACAGGCACACATAAACATCCTAGAACTGCGTGCAGCGTCACTGACGGTTCGAGCGTTCTGCAAGGAGCTAGTCAGCAAGCACGTGAAGGTCCTCACGGACAATGTGACGGTAGTCGCATATCTGAATCGTCTCGGAGGGACGAGATCTCAGAGATTGCTAGACATAGCTCTCGATCTATGGGAGTGGTGCGGGAACAGAGACTTTGTATATCACAGCAGAACATGTACCAGGAAAGGAGAATGTCCGAGCGGATTACAATTTCCCGGGCATTTTTTTCTCCGGCCACGGAATGGACCCTGGATCGTCACACGTTCCTGGGTTTGCTAAGCGACATTTCCACGACTCATGAAGGGGGTGGATCTGTTCGCAAGCGACATTTCCACGACTCATGAAGGGGGTGGATCTGTTCGCGTCCCGAACAAACTACGAGCTACCTCAGTATGTGTCCTGGCATCCAGAGCCAGAGGCAATCGGGGACAGATGCGTTCACAATGAACTGGAACAGGTGGGATCTGCCATACGCTTTTCCCCCGTTCATGCTAGTCGCACCAACTCTAAGGAAAGCGCGAGAAGACAGAGCTCACCTGCTTCTCGTAGCTCCGATCTGGGACACAGCAGTCTGGTACCCAGTCCTGCTGGAGATGCTGGTAGAAGAACCAGTGTTACTACCTCGCCACAACAGTCTCCTGACACAGCCAGAGTCAGGGATGCCTCACCCAGAGGGCACAAAAATGCAACTAGCCGCTTGGCATGTCTGTGGAGTCAGCACGACATGTATGGCATTTCGCCAGAGGTTAGCAAAATCCTCTTGGCATCATGGAGAGCAGGAACACAGAAGCTGTATGCTTCGGCCTGGGACAAGTGGAGTGGCTGGTGTGATCAACGGCACATCCATCCCGTTTCTGCACCTCTGAATAAGGTGCTAGACTTTCTGTTATCCTTGTACGACAAGGGTTTCCAGTACAGAACTATCAATGTGTACAGATCAGCTATATCTACTACACATCTTCCCTTGGAAGGGCAGCCTCTAGGATCACATCCGTTGGTGAGGCGGTTCATGAAAGGTGTGTTTGAACTACGTCCAGCACTACCCAAGTATAGCTTTACCTGGAGCGTCGGTAAAGTTTTAAAGTTGCTAAGGAGTTGGTCTCCAGCAAGTTCTTTATCACTTCGTTTGTTAACCTTAAAACTTATTATGTTGTTTGCTCTTACTTCTGCGGGAAGAGAGCAGTCTCTCTCGTTGCTGGATCTGAGATTCAAGAAAAGAATCTCCGACGGAGTTTGTTTTACTGTTAACAGTCTCTCCAAGACTTCACGGCCGGGCAAAGTCACACACGACATTGTGATTCCAAGCTTCCCGCAGGACAGAAGAATCTGCCCGGTAACATACCTGAAAGCGTATGTATCAAGAACTAGAAGTTTTCGTTTGTGCGACAGTATTCTGTTTAGAGCTCTTGTGGAGCCACACCAGGCGGTATCTACGTCTACCATCGCTAGATGGCTAAGAACTGTGTTACAAGAGGCCGGGATCGACACCTCAAGGTTCACCGGACACTCAACTAGAGGGGCGTCTGTCTCTGCTGCGGCACGACAAGGCGTATCAACCAAGGACATTCTAGCAGCAGCTAATTGGTCTACAGCTTCTACTTTTAAGAAATTCTACAACAGACCGGTGGGGTCAGCTTCATTCGGAAGAAACGTCCTGGTAGGGCTGCGGACCGGTACACTGTACCGGTCCAATACCGTAAAAATCGTTTCGGTACAGGTCCAAAATACCGGATCATGACGTAACGAGTATATACCGAAATAGCTAGTTTACACCATGTATATGACTAAAGATAGGTAAATCCTACCACAAAGACGAAAAATTAGCACGGGAAAAGACGTAAACACCGTCGATTGATTTGAGATCCTCAGTCTCACGAGACATCGCGAGAGTGTGGCTAATTCAGGGTTGTGATTGGTCAACAAACTCAAATCAGGTCATAAATAAAGATACTGACAAGTTGTCAACACTTTATTATTGTTTCTGTGTCATGATTGAAAAAGTGAAGAACACGTGTTAATTTGTCAAATTGTTCAGGTACAGGTACAGGTCCGGACCTGTACCTAAACCTCTGTACCGGTACCTGTACCTGTACCTGATGTTACGTTTAGGTACGCAGCCCTACGTCCTGGCCTCAGCAGCTACAAATCTCACCTGAAGTATTTTGTCTGCCTGACATAAGAGGGAATGCGGTAGACAAATACAAATTGTCCAAACCTAGTGATGGACAGGTGTAGTTGTCTCCGCATCCCTCGTTGTCAGGCAGACACCCTCCCTGACTGGTGCAGTTCTCCACGAGTTCCGGCACGACCCATCCCGAGAGGGCTTCGGCCAGGTGGAGCTGAAAAACTTTAGACTGGTGCGCATGCGCAGGGAGGGTGACCCTTCAACTTTGGGCGATACCAACTAGAGTCTACACGGGGGTGGACAGGCTCAATCACCTGAAGTATTCTGTCTGCCTGACAACGAGGGATGCGGAGACAACTACACCTGTCCATCACTAGGTTTGGACAATTTGTATTTTTATTCCTAGTTACAGGTTTTCCATCTACCAGTGCAGTGATTTGATTAAATGTTCAAAATTCATCGTTTAAATATTAACCCAGCCTTTTGTGTTGACTTAATGGCTCCTATCATAGCATTTGGGGCTATAATAGGATGCCTAGACCGGTTTTTATTTTTTTCGCCCTGTCGCTTCAATTTTTTAATGAAAAGATCCGAGAACCAACAAATTAAATTGGTGTGGCCTGAGTTCAACTAAGTCAACCAAGCCAATCAGATCAATTTGATTTTGTGTTCAACACAAGTAAAGCATTTACTCTGTAACGATAAACATACAGACTCACTCCACATAATTTCTATTGTCAACAAAAAGGTATGTATAGCGGTATTCCTATCCTATGTCAGGAACAAGCTTGGTTTACTGAAAATCCAACTTGTTGACTCAAACCTAACCGACATGTACAATGTATATAATCAGCATTTCATCATTGTCAATCTTCACCTAGGCTACCCACATGATAATCTTGATCATGAAAATCAAAGGAAAGTCACCCCGTCATTCATTTTCCTCTTAGCAAAAGTGGAGAAAAGTGTAGCCTACGTGAGTGAAAGCACGTTTTAGACACTATCTAAACCTTACTTGATAGATATCTAGGGAATGGCAACTTCCGCTTTACACGTAATCTATAGAACTTCCGGTATATTTCTCCTGGTTCCAATGACGTCAAGTCAAGCACGACTTGTTAGCCTCCTTTGCAGACTTTCTAGCAAGACAGTGTTTGTTTTTCTACGAGCGTCTAGAAGGAGGCCGTTTCTTTTCGGTGAAGAGCCTTGGATCGGGGGCACAACTCTGCTCCCGTAGCCTCTACCAGGCTTCGGGAGGCGGCTGAAAGAGTAGAAATTGCCCCAATAGATACTCTCAAAGCAGAGGTTGTGGGGGAATGATCGTTAGCTTTTTATATATGGCCAGATTTTTTTTTTGTCGCCCGTCGGTGGCCGGCGACCTTCTCTATCTAAAGGATACTGCCTGGCCAATTTGATACTGTCTTTTTGCCATCGAAAGGGATCTGCTTGGGGATTGCAAATAGAGAGATCCGCTGTCCGGCAAACTTTACTCTCTAGCGGACCAACTCTCTATTAGGCCAATTGCTACTCTTCCAGCCGCCTCACGAAGCCTGGTAGAGGCTACGGGGGCAGAGTTGTGTCCGCGGAGAGAGCTTTCCCCTCGACCAAGGCCCTCCCCCGAAAAGAAACTACCGTCCACCTTCTGCTCTTGCAAACAAACGCTAGCCGCTAGAAAGTCTGCGCAGGAGGCTATCACACTTCCGGGGTCTTTCTACTTGGGCGTCTGACAAGACTGCGACAGGAAACTGCTGGACGGTTTTTCATACAGCAAGACCGACTCTCTGTACGTAGTTGTGTACATGTAGCTCTCTGTCCTGTGCAGTCTTGAATGGTGTCATGGATTTAAATCTCTCTCGAGCCATTATCGTCGTCCTCCTAGTGACACAGACCTTCTTCAAGACAGGATTTGCGAGGTAAGAGTGCAATTCAACGTTCAAGACATCTAAAATACTGAAGTCAGCATTTTGTTTACAAGTTACATTTCCTATGCATTGTTGTCTAGCTACTTACGGGTTGGGATGCTTATGTCACGATTAACTCACTTGCTATATAAAGGGTATCAAATATTGCTCCCTTTTGGTAACCGGCGTCACGCACTCTCTTCTAGCTCAAAGGTTACGTACTGCAGTCTACCTGTATTTGAACAGTGCATAGTGTAATACTTTCTACTAGTATGTCTGAAACTGGACGCGTTTTCAGGCAAACAGCGATTTATTAAAACGATCTATTTGTCCTCAATGTACATGTGTTGTCACGTATGTCGCTCTTATTGTGGACAGGATAGTTCGTTTCAGCGGTCAGCCCCGGGTTTTTTTTTCGAAAACCATTTTTGTGTGTCTTTTGGGAGAGTATGTTTTTCCTGTCACCAATCCAAATCACTACGTGTACAGCAGCTTGGAAAAATCATAGCCGTCAGCGATTGCTTGAACACGAACCATCTGTGGAAGCACAGCCAAGTTTTGTCCCGTGTGGTACAATCAATGTAGCCACCACGCCAATGCAATTCAGCACAAATCGCTAGTTTAGGCCACATCGCCTTAATTGTACATATATGGATGACTTCCTCCGAAGACCCCCAGATTTGTGCGCGCCTGCGAATAAAAAAAATCCCGGCCAAAAATAAAAATGCTACTAAACCACAGGAATACAAAGCTGGTATTATGAATTTGCGGCAGTACATAGCGAAGTATACGACAAGCCGGCACATGCTGGCATTTTACGGAATTTATGAATCGGTACTGTAGGTATGTACTGAGTTCTTGAGTCGTGGAGCTTCTGTAGCCTGGGTGCGCATGCCGTCCTCCAGAGATATCACCGGCTTCCTATTTTCGCTAAAAACCCACCTCTGTTTCTTTCATCCACAGTGTACCAGATGTCAGTGAAAAACGAGAACATTACAGACTGAGGAGGGATACTGGGCGTAAGTAATTTAGGAAAAGTGTCAATGAAAAAAAATATATGTATACATTGAATAAAATTATATTTGTCAGGTGCTGAGCGAGAATCTATGATTATGTTTACCGAAGGAAAACATATAATTTTTGCTACGTTTCCTCTTCTTCTTCTCCAAATAGTGACCTCTGACCTGACTGAACCAGACTGTCTCTCGCCATGGTAACTGGTGTTGGGTTACATAATGTTGCAATTTTAAAGTAGGAGGGATTTAGACTCCTGTCACCATATATGTGAATGTGTTTGAGTACGAATTGACAGAGCAGACCATATGCGAAGATAAACATTATGTATTTGCTTAAGTTAAGTTTTCAAATGTTACTTTTCTAGTTTTTTCCACTCTTGATTGGGGAAGAGGTGAGATGACGAAGGTAAATAACAAATTTAGAAATTACAAATGAATGAACTTTTAATGAATGTCAGTCTAAATCTGAATGAATGAATGAATAATCGAGTGAGTGAATGAATGAATGCATTCCCAACATGTCATACAACACCAACGGGTCTATACGTGATAATATTCCATGGGTGTTACTGTAAATGTTGTTATTATTATCATTTTCAGCGTTGTCTTTCAAGGAAAGACCGTCCAATAAGACAGTGCTTCCTGGCGACACTGTTCTGATTGGTTGTTCGGCACAAAATGGCGACATCTCTCGACAAATGTGGTACAAGGAAGACCAACTCCTGACCCCGCCATTTTTAGGATCGGTTTTCGTCTTGCCGAACCACAACCTCCTTGTCGTTGGGACGGAAGAAAACATGGGGAAATACACGTGTGTGCTGGAGAGGGGACAGGACACCATCTCCACTGACGTTTGGATCACTTTGAAAACAGGTGCGCACCCAGGAGAATGCTCGTCGGAATTAAAAGTTCAACCAATGAGAGAATGGCAATTATCGGTTCGACCAATGAGATAGTGGCTGCATGCCCGTCAATTATTTTCATTATGGGTTCACCACACCACGAAGTGGTGTGGTGAAACCATATTGCTTTTTCTGATGTTTCTTCTCCTTCTCCTCCTCCTCCTCCTGCCATATCTTTAAATGGATTCAGCTTCTTCATTTTAGGGCCTAAGGTCCTGAAATTTGGTATGGAGGTACAGTGGGCAAATACCCCTAGGCGTTTTTTAAATTATTGTGATACAGGCTTTTAGAATGGTTTTATTTGAGTTTTTTGGCTGTGTTATAGCAAATGTATTACTGTGTTAGTCTGCCTTGTTTACCACGTTTGGGCATGAGTCATCAGAATGGAATGCAGGGCATCAACCAATAGGCATGCAGCTTTCCTCTATACTTCTTGCTGATTGGCTGTTGGGATTTAACTTGATTAACACCTGCACAGAAGCATTTCCACCTGCACAGAGCTCTATACTTCTTGCTGATTGGCTGTTGGGATTTAACTTGATTAACACCTGCACAGAAGCATTTCCATACTGACAGTATGTCTGTATTCAAGTGTTTTGGTAGGTATTTCAAGCTTTCCTGCTCCAGCATTGGAATGCCGGGCATGGTACGTTTTTTTTTATTTTGAAAATCAACAGTTTGCATTATGCAATTAAAAATCCTAACCAATAAAGTAGGGAATAGCTATCCAACTGTTGTTTTAGTTGTATTTTACTTCATATTATAGTTATATCAATGTAAATCATTGTTTTCCCTTGTGTTTCCCATTCTTTCCCTGCCATGTCGTAAAATGTGGTGAACCCATCGCTGTATTTGCTCCAAAGCAAATATTGGCCTTTCTAGTTTCTATTTGCTTTTTTTAACGGAGATGGGCGGGGCTTTAGGATCAGTCTAATCTGCCCAGTCCAAACTAGGTTGAGTGCCATCTGTTTTGAGACGGGACTCCTTACACTCGCTACCCTGAGTATTTTTTTTGTGTAGAAAAACGAATGGCTCTCAGGCAATCAGTCATCAAAGTAGCGATGCATGTATTTATTTTAGCTATAATTCTAGACTCGTTGATATGTAGTTAGTTAATTAATTAATAAGAGATGTAATTAAGTCCTACCATGCTTATACTTAAGTATTTGTCTAAGTTTGCTATGATGACTTACCTGAATGATGTTGGGAGCTTGTCATTTTATTTTCCTGTAGAGATCTCCTTTCTGGACAGACCCAGTGACTCAACCGTGCAGTTCGGGGAAAGTCACATCTTCCCGTGCTCGGCAGAGGGCGCTGCTGACATATCCTGGACCAAAGACGGCCAGCCCTCCGAGTCATTCATCGACGGCGACCGAGTCCTGCAGCATCGGGGGGACCTGGTGTTTACCGCCGTCAGCCTCACCGACAGCGGTCGGTACACCTGCACGGCTACGCCCGCAGACGGCGGCACGAGCATTCAGGCTCATGCCGTCTTGAAAGTGAACATCGATGTTGCCAACGGTTTGTAAAATTTGCTGTCATTGAAGATTGTCAACGGCGTTTAACTTTGTAATGTATTCTTTCGTAAGGAACGTCTTCATATAGCCCTTGTCCACTGATTTTTACGTCAAAATTTCTCGAAAGGAAGAAGCGAGAGTCTCATTCTTCCCTCCTTGGCCTTCCCCTCTCTTGTCTGTGTCGTCATATTCGTAAAGTATGTGATATCTATTGATTCACCGGTGCGATGACCAAGTGGGTAGAGTGCTCGCCTTGCATTCGGTAGGTCGTAAGTTCGATCCCCGGCCGAATCATACCAAAAGGCTTTAAAAATGGTTCATACTGCTTTCTCTGCTTAGCGCTCAACATTTGGGAAAGAGTATATGGAGTCAAACACACACCACTAGTACTTGTGGACCCCTATAGTGATTGCACAACTGTTACACAAGGGCTACGGAAATGGGCGCCGCCCCTTTGCGACCATCTTAAAGGCATCCAATGCAGCTGCAGTTTCGAGGGCTTGGAAACCCGATTTTTCAAAGTCAGTATTCTAGTACTAGTCACTTATCTACATACAATGTATACTGAGTTGAAACCACACTATCCTAATGTATTATCCTAATGTATTAGCCCTAGGCTTCATGGAGCAAAAATACCCAAAATTCTGACAGAAAATGGTCACTGAAAGGGCCCTGGTCTGATTTTTAGGGTGCCACTCAGAAAATAAAGGACTCATCTTGGGGCATGTTTCTGCAGTTTTGAATATCCAAAGTATGAAATACCGATTGAAATGTGCTAATGTGAGGCAGTATGTGTCAATTTCGTAAAGATTGCCTTTTTCAGAATGTTTCCAGTTTTGCTGCTCTGAAATCGTATTGGATGCCTTTAATGGTTGCGGGGAGGACTTAAACTAATAACGTTTAATGTGATATCTACCTATTTCCAGTCTGCGGCAGACCGTTTCACCCCCACGGTCCAGACGGGTTCGTGGTCGGCGGGACTGAGGTGGCCCGCGGGGCGTTCCCATGGCAGGCCATGCTCTGGGACATCCGGCCCGCCAGAAACAGGTAAGTCACTATGCATGTACGTCAACCCTGCCAAGGTGACCACCTCTTCAAGCTGGCCACCTGTCCATGGTGACCGCTTTTTCTCGGTCCCAAAAACATTTCCTCACTGACACAATCATTAAGCAACCTGTCCAAGGTGACCACATGGCCAACGTGACCGCGACCGCCCTGAGTTGGGTCCGCTCAAGGCCTGATACCTTTGCATTTGACATTAGAATATCTCGACATTTATGTCTCAGTCATGTTGTGAGGCGACCCTCTTCAAGGAGACCACCTGTCCAAGGTGACCACTTTTCTTTGATCCCCTGGGTGGCCGGCTTGGACAGGTTTGACTACAGTAGATAAAGCTATTAAACAAATGCACTGCCGGTGCACTATTTAGTACCCTGATGTAAAACATAATTGTTCTACCACCTACTTTCTCTCAATATGACATGCAGCTACATGAATGGTTGATATTTTTTTGGCGACGCCTCATTGATGGATTCGTTAGGACCTTACTTGTTTGTTTCGAATATGCAAGACAAATCAATGAGGTTACCGGTATATAACCTGTATAACTTCCTTTGGCAAATAATGCATCTGTAATGTTCCTAAACTTAATTTTCTGCATATTCTTTGTTTGTTTGTTTGTTGTAACTATGTGTTTTCCTCGTCAAACATTTTAGGTTTTTCTGTTCGGGGAGCCTTCTGAACGGCCGTTGGGTCATCACGGCTGCGCACTGCATCCGCGAGTCCAGGGTCGGAGAGAACGACTTCATCGTCCGGCTCGGGAGGCACACAACAACAAGGGGCGTGTTCGAACAGACAGAGAGGTAGATAAGTTCACTTTTAGTAGCTATGTAGCATGCTTTATAGTGCAATGCGGCTCCGCCAAGTTAAGGCTCCCGTTTTATATCTAAGCACACCGGGACGGACATACACCTGCCTACCTGCCTAAATGCTTAGGCCAGATCTTCATTTTTCCCAGCAGGCAGCACGGCCCTTAGCCTTTTGTTTTGCAACCTTGCGGGACCATCATGTATCAAATACTATTTGTTGGTCCCGCCATCTTTTGGGGGTCTTTCTCTAGACCTAGGGTTTTCAAACTTCTGGTGGTAGGCCCCGTACATAATATACTCTTATGGTTCTTAACGTTAAATGTGTTCGGCATTTTAGCGTGCCGAAATTCAAATCAAACTCAAGCCTTAAGGTACCTGGGTTGGCTAATTTGGTGATTTGAGTTTGTACTGTTGTACTGGTAAAGGAATGAGAGAGAACTGCGATTGTACTGAATTTGGTACCTAGCAACATAAGATTCTCAAAAATAATTTTTGGTATACTACATGCATGACGTCATCAACTTTTATTGTCCTTTTCATTTTTTTTTCAAAGAAAAAGTAAAGAACTTTGGCAATTCCAAACAACATAAAACTTGGTCTTTGATTTCACAATGATGAAAGCTACAAACGTTACGCCTACTGTTATTATAGTTAATTAATTTCTTGCCGAACATGCACTTACGTCGTTTGTACCTGAGAGAAAGACTATGCTTCACTCTATATCACGGCATCTTGGGTTCACATTTTTTAAATTCTAAAGTATTTTCCTTGTTAACGTAATGTAAATGTCATTGCTATTTCTGCCGTTTTCCTAGTTCCTACATAGTGGAAGAAATAATCGTCCATCCTGACTTCAACGGCGACACGTACGAGTCAGACATCGCCCTGTTGAAGCTGGCTGGACCGGAAGTGACGTTCACAGAGTACATTCTTCCCATCTGCCTGCCGGATGTTGTGGCTGCCCGGAGACTGGTGCGGTCGGGACAGACCGGTACTGTGACCGGCTGGGGAGCCGTGGAACAAGGAGGACCTTATATTCAACAACGCTAATGAAGGTCTGCATCAGCTTCTGTTGAAGTTGACTCTATCTCTAGACTTGAAAATGGATACATATAACGTACTTTTCACGAAAACGATTGATGAAATCATGTATTAAAAGCGTTACCGTGAGAGACATGTACGATATCTACAACTTTCTCTTTATGAGTATTATTGTTATTATGATTATTGTTATTATTATGATCAGTTATTATTATGATCAGTTATGAGTTTAATTATGAATATTTATTATGATCAGTGATTATTTTGATTCTATTATTACTGTTATTATTATGCTTACTATTATTATGATCAGTTATTATTATGATCAGTTATGAGTCGAATTATGAATAATTATTATGATATAAAACTTTCTCTTTTAAGAAGAAAGGAACGAATCAATCTTCAGGCAGAGCTTTAGGTGGCTGAAAAGGCGTAAAAAATGCTACCAGTACAAGAAAGAATGCTCGATAAGAACGACGTCTAAAACACTCATCATTCATGGCACGATCCTCCTTACAGGTGAGTCTACCGCTGGTGGCCTTGGGACGGTGCCGCCGGGCGCACCCCCAGTTCGCTGCCGACATCAGCAAGAACATGTTCTGCGCTGGTCGCACATCGGGGGGCAGGGACGCGTGCGAGGGCGACAGCGGGGGACCTTTCGCCGCTTACGACAACGGAAGGTACGTAGCTGAACATGAAGATCTAAACAATGAAAACCCCATAATATACAAATTTCTGCTTTTTTATGTTTACCGATTCGGAAGTAAAAAATATTGTTTTTGCTCAGTTTCCTCTTCTCCAAACACAAAAGGTCATTGACCTGAACCAGACGGCTGTGACCATGGTAATTGGTTTTGTTGCAATTTTATAGCAAGAGGGATTCAGACTCCTGTCTGACCATATATATGAAAATGTGTTGGAGTAAGAATTAACAGAGCAGACCATATGCAAAGGTAAACATTATGCATTTGCTTTGCAACTGTTACCTTTCTAGTTCTTAAGTCGATCTCTAAAAGCTTGTGACGACGGCGATAGCTATAAAACTAATAAACGCGGCTTCTCTACTGCTTGCTTTCATATCTTCATATCGTTGAATAACAAGTTTAAATCACCAACATGGCGGCCGCAAATTAACGCCAACTACGTCACAGTCACGTGAGTGCAAACCCCTCCATATATGGTGTTTCGGTCATCACTTGGGAAAGGCACTTTACACGACTTTTCCCGCTAGACTCAAGTGAAAATGAGTATTGTCTGTCCAGTATTCGTTTCTATGTGCGGGACACAACACCAGCAACAGCTGCCTCTGTTCCGCGTGTATTGAACTGTTGCAATTTCAATAAATCAAATCAAATTAAATTAAATCAAATCAAAAATCACTTTAGATGGGTGCTGCTGGGCCTTGTGAGCTGGGGTGACGGCTGTGCGCTGCAGGGGAAGTATGGAGTCTACACACGTGTTCACCGCTTCCGGGAATGGATAGTGACTTACGTAGAGAAGCCAGGTAAAACTCGTTCATGGTCAAGTGCGGCTGTATTATAGTCCTTCTGGAAGCGTCTAAACATAGATATTATAAAGATAGGATATAGAAAGTCACAACTGAGAATCACGGGGTGTTCAGTCTTTTGGCTTTAATTTTTGTGTGTAGAATCAGTGTGTCCGCATGCAGTGAATACTTATAGTATATACAAGATGTTAAAGTACATTACTTAAGTCCCAAAGTCGATAACGGAAAATAATGATTTTCAGTGATTTGAATACCCGTGGAATCAATTTTCCATAGAGTAGAAATGCTAGCTTGCTTCAAATATATTGCTTGAAATGTGATTATTTAAAGAGTTGTTCCCCATAAATGAACACATTCTTTAGAACTGGCGTGTTGTTGGAACACTTATTTTTAAGCAGACCCGAGTGGCGATGGCGACAACAACACGATCCCGTGCAACAGCGCCCCCTGCCAGAACGATGCGCGATGCGTCCTGGCCGAGGACAGGGAGGATGGGTACTACTGTAACTGTCCGTCTGGATTCGAGGGAAGACACTGTGAAATAGGTCAGTACACACTATCCGAACATCGCATATACACGTGTACAGTTGTAAATGATGGTAAACTGAAACAACATAAAAAAGATATGACG